TAAGTAACAAAATACCAATGAAGGAACAGAAACAACAAATAAAACAATTCATGAAAGCTCTGGAAACAAAGTTGTCCTTCAAAGAAAGTGCCAGTCGAGACCAAAACACCAAACTGAAGATTTTTATCCTTCAGTTCTTGGTAGGAAGACATAAAAGAGGAAAACGCCCAGACATGAATTGAAAATAAAAAGAAATGATTAAGTTTATTTACATTTCTCATACAACTAATTGATTTATTGCTTATTGGCCTAAACTCAAGTACACTTTTCTGTTTTCTTGTCAGTTGAAGATTTCCAAAAACAGGAGTCCATCTGGTCAGGAGTTGATGCCGATTGCTTTTCTGTATATGTGTGTGTATGTATGAGTGTTGGTGTGTGTGCACCGTGTGTTCTTGAATGTCTCGAAGACGTCTTAAGGAAACAGCAAGGGGCTTAGGCCTTCCCATTGTTGTCAGCGCATCATTTCTAATGAGATGCGCTGCGTATTTGCATATCATGCCTGGCAGCAGTGACTGTGGAGAGATATTGATTCTGGAGTTTGGTTGTAGACAGAAGGGAGCTGAAAATGTTGGTTGAGGTCAGTGGGTCAAGCCTAGATACACACCCATCCACCCTCAGGGTTTTACAAACACACACACACAAACAGCTTCACAAACACATCCCTACTACTTTTGAAGTGTTTCTGTTCTTGCCAGTTCTAAAGATAGTTAGATGAAAACAGGTGTGTGTGTGTGTGTGTGTGTGTGTGCGTGGTGTGTGTGTGTGTGTGTGTGTGTGTGGTGTGTGTGTGTGTGTGTGTGTGTGTGTGTGTGTGTGTGTGTGTGTTGAGGAGTCTGAGACCCTGAAGGCCTGCAGTTTTTCCTCTATCCTTCCTCTGGAGATGTCTCTCTTTTTTTTTTCAGACATTTTTGCTACATAGTTTATTTTGTCTTGATGGAGCTGGAAAATCTGCCTAGAAACCGTATACTGTAATGAAACATACAGTATCATTGAGCAAGGATTTGCTAAAGGAACATTAAGGCACAAATCTTTCAGTGCCACATCTAGAGAGAGTGATCCTAAGATTCAGTGCTGAGGATGAAGTGACATGTTAATGGCATCTTTAACCTTTAACTGTGCGATCATGTAACCGTGGTTAAAAGAGACTCAAGTGTTCGGTTTGTCCCTCTGGGCTAATTTAGTGACATGATGGTAAAACACAGCAGATGGGGCGAGGAGCATGTTTTTACGATCAAATGAACTGGAAATTCATAAAAAAAATTGTCCAATGTTTAAAATTCTATGTTTAAGTGAAAAATGATTCATAGGCCTGCTAGATCAAAATGTTTCTTTTTTTATTGTTTATGCAATTTTTTTTCCAGATTGGAAACTAAAATATCATCTCTTAAAAGATAATAAAATAATACAATAAATATCAGTTTTAAAAGACACAAGTTTTTAAAAAATTTTTTAAAACATTTTTAATAAAATGACTTTTATTAATAAAAAGTTTTTTTTTAATTAAACTGCTGAGCAGGTTTTTTAATTTTCTTGTCACATTTTTTTTGATGATTTATCTTTAATGATGGTCTTTGTGGGTGGAAGACCTCTTTACCATCACCCTAATCTTCTCTTTTCTTCAGACTTTCTCTGTCAGATTTGAGAATTGATCAATCACCCTATCACATTCAAAAAGCCAAGCCAGGCCATCTTTACCTATAGAATATGTTGAAAACAACGAGCACCAATGAATGTGCGCAACATAAATACATCCGTCCATTTTCAGTACAAAACAGAATACATATATATTTATGAAGTAAAAGATGCTGGGAAAACAAAAAACATAAAAACAAAATTTACATCCTTAACTGGGGAATTAAGAACAGTTCAAACGGAGATAGAAGTAAGACTGTTTAAAGTTGTGAAAATACCATTTACATGATATCTAAACTAAATAAGCTGTGAGTGCAGTGAAGATTGAACTGCAGTGTTTTGGTTCTGCCCTTTCAAGTTGAAAGCCTTGTGAAAGCATTTCATTTATCAGTGACTTTTGCACCAGGGTCATGTCGCTCCAGTCCCGCTAACAGAAGCGCACGCATCCCCACTGATCTTTTTAAGTCTTGTGGTTTGTTCTCCAGACGTACTCCGCATAAACTCCCAGCAGCAAATCGAGGTTTTATCCTTAGCGCCGAATGTTCAGGTGAGCCGTGTCAGGAATCAGAGGCGCTGAGTGTCTGCGTTACAGCAACGCTGCTCTGTGGAATATACCCAAACTCAGACAAATGAAACTGGGTCAGTTCATATTGATTTTGGCGCATGGAAGCATTTTTGAATACTTTTTTTTTTGGTGAAGATTCTACCTAAATATGGATTATTACAACAACAGAAGTGGGTGGCTCCTATCAGAGGAAGAAAATGCCAAACCTACATGCATCTGCTTCTAGGTTCATGAGCAGGAAATACAAATATCAGAGGCTTCAGGATGGAACCCTGTGGTACGCCACATGACAACGAAGAAGAGCGTATATAGCTAAAGAAAGAAATGCTCGACAAAACTAAAAAAAGAGATGGCTTTGAATAATAATCAGTGAATAACTGTTATTTCTATAGAGCCAACTAACGACAAATGTCACCTTAAGGCACTTCATTAAACAAAGACATTTAATTTGTTTGAAGAAGCATGTTATCAAATTAATCCCTTGAAATCTGGTCATAATTAAAGAACAAAATAATTTAGATTCAATCCACTTAGACCAAAAGGTAAGCAGATGGTTAAAGAGTTTATTGGACTGTGTTTGGTCTTATGTAGCTGTTTTTCCACGAATCTTGAATGTGTTATTTTTTAAATTCCAGCTGAGGTTGTTGTTCTCCGGTTAGTTTCCTCCCAGCGATGCCACATCCACCAGAAAACTCAGATTTACTCCAGCTGAGGGACGCTTCCTCTCCTTCACTGAATGCATGGATAACTCTGTGTGTGCGTGTGTGTGTGTGTGTGTGCGTGTGTGTGGGTGTGTGTGGGCGTGTGCGTGTGTGTGTGTGGGGGTGTGGGGGTGTGTGCGCGTGTGTGTGTGACATCAGTGTATGTGCATGTGTTACACTGGCGTTAATGCATGATCGGTCTTCTCGCATAAGAAAAATTCTCTTTATGCATGAGTGACGTGCAAGTTTAAAGAAACCTTTTAATATAAAATGCTATGCTAATGTAAAAACATAAGTGTGAGAACAGAGTGTGAATTTCTTTTTACACGTAGCTTAATTTGATCTAAAAAAGCAGCTCCATTAAAGTATGCCGTGAACGGACTCCGACTCATTCGCGGAGTTCTTTACTCAGATGTTTTTTGTGGAACGTAACTCTAAAATACTTCACCTACATACAGATTTATTTCTTGAATCATTTCTTAAATATTTGAAAGGAAATAAAATTCTGCAGCTGAAAAACATGCTGCTTGACACAACATTGGTAGTGCTGCCATGAATTTGTCTCGATGCCGTTTGGCTGCGTCTACAAGAGTGGAAAGAAGGGATGCTGCGGTTGTCAGCTGCTGTGTTTGCCTGGTTAAAACCGGCCGCTTGTTCCACGCTTTCTTTCGAACAGACAGTCTGGATCCACGGCTATTAAGATGTGAGAATAATTGGCAAGGCAGATTATCCGCATTGGGCGATACTTGCATGTGAAACCGATTTTATCGTCCGATCTTATCCACCTCAGCAAAGGCCTAAAATCCAACCACTGTCCTCTTCTGCTCTCCCCTGAGAGGTTTGACTGTTAGCCCCGTCCACCAGCTTATGACTGCACGTTTGCTGTTGCCAACTCAGCAACTTTCTTGCTATATTTAGCCACATTTCAGACGAATAAATTGGTATTGGCCCAAATCGAAATCAGAATTTAAAGATCGGTCGGAAAACTGCAATCAGTGTCTAAAGTTTGACTTTAGACACTAATTTGAAAGCGTGGCCAACATGAACTGAATGGACTCTATTCACTGAAATTCAACAGGAGAAATCAAGCTCAATGGGAGAAATCCCAGGGAGATGAGAATTGTGCGGAATTGCACCGGAAGGCAATAACCAGGCTACATCTGTGGCGCTACCAAGACACTTTCTACTGTTTGGATTAATGCATATTAAGATATTAAAACAGGACGTTACACGCATTTTAGAGGGGATCTCCAGTATTTCAGCTACAGATGGAGCACAAACACAACTTCTATTCTAAATACAACTTATCACCCCCCCCCCCCCCCACACACACACACGCTTCTTCCATACACCAGTTATATGACGTATGTTCTGCCTCTAGAACTGCTCCACTGGATGTCAGTAATGATGTCATTTATCATTATTTACATTTTTGTACGGAACAACAAATGCAACTATCTCACTCTCATTCAGTCTTCAACGTTCCATCAGAGTCTGTCATTATCAAGTGAAAATGAAATTTTAAGACATTTTTTTAGCCCCCCAATGACAACAACCAATAGGATAATTACCCAACCAGCTATGCAGCCATTTCACAATCCTAACTAATGAGCCTGCTGGCATTTTTTGAACAGTTTCCATAAAAACTCACCTCTCTGACTGGCGGAGGTTCATCAGAGGGCTGGGGTTGGTGGTGTAATGCCCACATTGTCCCCAATGTGCCAACTGTTATTTGCATGTGTGTGTATTCTGGAAAAGAGTCCGAAATATACAGTAGGACATCCTGATTTTTAAATTAAATGTTTTTCATTGCATCACAGAGTTTTAGTGTTACCTTTATATCTTCAACATTTTGGCTGGAACCATTTGCTTTCACATCTTACTTTCATGAACATGTAGTGCATTTGTCTATATTTTGTAATGTAAATGCACGTGTGTGTGTGTGTGTGTGTGTGTGCGTGTGTCTGTGTGTGTGTGTGTGTGTGTGCGTGCGATAGCAGTGGAGCGTGAGTCCGAGACGCATTAATAATGTATGAGGGGGAGTGGTGACGAAGAGGAGGCGGTGACAGATGGAGAATCAGTGTGTGAGTGTGTGTCGGAGAGAGAGTAACGCTCTGACAGACAGTGAGAGCTCAGAGAAAGGAAAAGGGATAGAGTGAGTTGTGGGGGACAAACGAAAAACAGATTAAATGCTGTAAAAGACTTTTTCCTTCCTTGATTGTTGCAGCGTCTGATTCTGCTCTGTCTTCCCGCTCTGAATTCAGCTGACAGCACTTCAAGTCTTTGTGTTTGCTCTTTTTTACCTAACCCCCTGTATGCTGAAGGATTGACACACAAGGAGCTACAAAGCGGTGACCAAGCACCTCAATGAAAGCTGCACTGACAGAGGCTCTGAAACACGTGCAGACTGTGTTTCAGAGGAAGCCCATGCGAGGATTAGACCACTTCACTCTGTAAGGTAATTGAGTTTGACAGTTTTCTCTAGAAACAACAGCAAAAAAAGACAAAATAATCAGAATTAACACAGCACTCAGCTCAGTTTACATTATAAGATGCTGATATGCAGTTCTTTGTTCTTCGCTCTGCTGTTTGTAAAAACCACAGTCTGACCGGAATCAGACACAGAGTGCACTCTATTCCCTCAGCTTCCATTTCTCACAACCTTTGTCCTCCTTTTCCACCACGGCTTCCATCTCATCACTGTTTACCTGCCTGAAGCTGGAGAGGTGACATGGGAAATCTCTGCTGCATTAATCAGACTCTGACCTGTGTGGTTCTGGATGCTGCTGCTGTACTGTATGTCTTACTTATGGAGGCTCGTTTTTGTGCTACTTTATTATTTACAATAATTCCTGTTTTATCTAATGTTTGTCTTTGTTATATTGTGTCCTTACTTGGACTGCAGTTCTAAATCAGGATGTGGAATAGAGAGGAAGCTAAAAAAAAGAACTCCTGCCCATGCTGTGCCCGACACACAAGTCATCAGTTATGATTGCTTTTGATTCTGCCTGACAATTTATGATTTTTCTGGCTTTGTTCCCCAGTTCCAGGCTTTCTTTGTTTTTCTCTATCTTATTAGCTTATCTTATTTTTAACCCACATATCACAGGAACTCATCATTTTTAGTATAGGACTTTTTAAACAGGTGCTCCTGAATCAGATTATATTTGAATCTGAGCTGTCAGATTGACTTTACGTCATGATGTGAAAGACACACAGTTTTGCACATCAGACATTTGGATGTAAACAGTGGATGAAACGACCATGGAGACATGAACCACAAAAAATAAATAAACAAATGAATAAAAAACGTAAAGCATCAATTTCAATACTTACCTAAGTCACTAATGAGGTTAAATTTTAAAAATTAACCAAAAAAAAAAAAAAAAAAAAAAAAAACATAAATCAAGTTCACACTGAGGATAACAGTCTGTATGCTGCCTAACTATTGGCTCTTCAAGTTACTATGCTGCATGTCATTGAACGCCCCGTCTGCAAACGGATGCGTCCAGTTCAGATCTGCTTGGCCAGCATGTTTTGATACTCCCCATCCTCTCAGCGGAGACGCCGGATGTGCAGCGCTGCTAAGGTGTGATAACTAGATGCTGCACTAAGCCTGTTTGTTGGCCAGTTGGTTCAAACAGCACAGAGTTGCCGAGTTTCAAACAGGCCTTTGTAGTTTCGAGGGACGAGCATCACGTGAACACCACTGGGTGCTTTTTGTAAAACGATACAGTCAGAACTTAACAGCAATAATTTATATTTATGAAAGGGGGAAAAAAGAATGACGGTTCATTTTTGAAGGCATATTCTCTTCATCTTATTGATTTATTGATGAATGCCACAGTTTCGATCCAGATAGCTAATTAGTAAGCTAAATATTCAGCTTTTTAACAAAATATTTGACTCCAAACTAAATGTTTAGTTAGCTTTAGTTAGCTTAATATTAAGTTAGCTCTGAACACATTTTGTAAACTAAACATTGGTCTTTCTAACTAAATATTTAGTTACTGAGTATTTAGTTTTGAGGTGAACATTTAGTCTGTAAGCTCTACATTTAGCTTACTTGCTGAATACTTAGTTTGAAACTTAAAAAAAAATAAAATAAAATACATGACTTTGAAAAATAAACTCCCATATCTTTTCCTCTTATGGGAGGTTAAACTACCCAAATTATTGCTGTTAATTTAAACACATGGAGCACAGCTCAGCTCATTAGCTCATATGATGCTCTGCTCTGTTCATTTTCTGATCAAAATGAATTATGTCTGAGCCCAGGCGTAAAGATCCATTCAGATCTTTCAGCGAGTGTTTAAAGCAGGAATCAAGTCTCATTTCTCTCTATGATCATGTGTGGTTCCTCTTGTTGTTGTTGTTGTTGATAGATGTCTTTTCTCCGTTCACTTCCCATGTTGATCACCGGCCTCTCAGGGTTCAGGCCTGACTGCTTTTCGGTGATCAGCTGTTTGTCACTCTGAGAACCACATCTGTTCCCCCCTGTGGGCTCCAGCAGGGAAACCTTGAGTGCTTTACTTTGACCTTTGACCTATCTGAGGTCATTAAGAGACATCCTGTGTGACTCTTTCCTGATCAGACGGAATATTAATATATCTCAAACAATTTATGTAACTCTGTGTGTGTTTGAGGGGTCAGTTGGGCATTTGCGTGTGAGTGACATTTCCCCCTGGACAGCTGGACACATTTATCAGCTCTTATTAGCTTTCTCCCATTACAGTGCCTGACAGAATATGTAAAGAATGAAAAAAAAAACAACAACCCAAAAACATGTATGTGTTAGTGTTCAGTTAAATGTTACTTGCAAGGCGCTTTTCATACAAATGAAAACAACAAAAAGTTTTCTTTACTGCTTAAAAACACACAGATAAACATGCAATCACACCAGCAATGATACAATAAAAAAAAGACAATTTTATTAAGGACATTAAATTGTATAACATGAAAATGCCAAATAAAACAAAAAGAATTATAAAAAAACTTTTTTATAAATAGCATTAAACCAAATAAAAAAAAAATCTCTCTGAGATAACATCTAAAATAATGACAGGTGTACTCTAATCAAATGGATAGTAGTAATAATAATAATAATAATAATAATAGTAATAATAATAATAATTCAAATATAAAATATAAATGGAAATGATAAAACCTAAATGAATATAAAAGACTATGTATTAAAAACCCAGACTGAACCGAGAAGTTTCTCCAACGATCACCTTCAGGCCGGCTGCTCCCAAGGCGAGTGGCGTAATGAGAAAATGAAAATGACTTCCAGAAGGCCTGAGGGGTCAGGTGGCCTGCAGGAGAGAAGCAAATCTGATGAATAGGGTGAACTAATAGCTTTAATAATTTTAAAAACCAATAAGCGTTCCAAAAAAAACCCAAAACCGATTCGAAAAGCCACAGCTGGACACAGTCTGCAGAGACTCACGCTCCGCTGTGATGCCAGCTCCCTTCCTGGTCTGCATCAGAGTCCTGGCAGCTGCACTTTAAAGATGAGGTCTTCTCAGGAAGACCGAAGGACATGCAGCATTAACGTCGTTATTTCAGAGATTCGAACAGCATATGCTAATGTTGCTGGACTGAGAGAGAACAGGCCAACCTCTTGCACTGTTCTCTGGAAGACAAAGTACATTCTTTTCTGTTTTTGATTCCTCGCCAATGTTTGAAGATGTGTTTCTCTCTCTTGGGGTTTGTGCCAATAACCAGAACCTTAAACTTGTTCTGAGTGAACTTCCCTGAAATATAATTACCTGAAATTCAGGTAATTTGTGCATTAGCGGCATTTTGTCAGCAGTACAGAGATGTGTGTCATCAGCATAGCTGGAAAACTAAATACTTTCCCTTCTCTTGGTCACCATGTGGAAGTTGCCTGAAATGCTGGAGACCTAAACTTGAACTTTCTTGGTACTTTGGAGCTTAAGGTAAAAAAAATGTCCTAAATGTACAAAGACGTTACTGTGAGAAATGAGCTGAAGCACTTAAACAGTTCAAGAGAGTGCAGTCTGAGTGTGTGCGGTATAATAGCCTAGTCAGAAGCACTATCAGTGGCTGCATGTCGTTCTTTTACCACTGATACTGACGTTGTGTCGTGATCCATATCGGACCCTTCAGGTCTTTTGTAGAGCTGATTCTGCTGATTCAATTTGAGACCAGAAATGTTTGGTGTTCAAATTAGAGCTGAAGTTATTAGGAACCCTGTACTTAAAAAGGTACGTTAGGAAGTGTGTGAGGGTGTGTATTCTGAGAGGCTTCATTCGTCTGTGGGAGGATTACGGCATGAATGCACGCAGTGTGTTTTGTGTCACTGGGTCAGGTGTACGCAGTAGTGTTGTGATGTACACAGGTGTTTGCTAAGTGTTTCACGTCGGTGGATGTTCTGTGAAAATGGCAGAAAACTGAGCACACACTCACACGCGCACAAACATTGTCATTGTGAAATACAGTCCTTCCTTTGTTTGGGAGTATTGTGGAGAGTATTGTGGAGAGGAGGTTAATGCACCCAGAAAACTGAAAGAGAGAGAGAGAGAGAGAGAGAGAGAGAGAGAGAGGGAAACGCTAATGGACAGTGACGACGCTTTCACAGCAAATATTTGGTAGCAAGAGGTCTCAGACATGAGCGTCCCATCCCCCTTTCCCTGCCTCCATCCACCCCCTTTCTCCATGGCCAAAGGGAAAAGATCAGAACAAATTATCCATCTGTGATCAGCCCACAAATGAACTGCGCTCAAATCGACGCCTTTGACATTTGTCACGTTTTGATGGGTAGGAAGGGAAACACGTTGAAGTTTTTCTTCGGGTAAATAATTTAGACAAATATGAAGTTGCAGCAGTGTGGCATTTCAGGACAAAACGAAGCCCCTCTGTCATGCGGGTGTTTCAGATCCTCTGAAGCAGTCTAACGGGTCTGATTTTGAGCCTGAAAGAGAAATCCTATCTCAGCCTAAAACCTCCCGACTCGTCTGATAATCACAAATCTTTACATTTATTCCCAGACCAAAGTTCATGGGAACCCTGGTATGATGACAAAGCATTAATCGCAGTCATAAACCTCAGATTTGTTGATGCTTTGGCACTGTTGGAGCAAGTGCTAGTGGAACACCTGATGTACCAGGTCTGCTTTCACATCATTTGTGTGAGGAACAGGCTTCTTTTCTCAAACCTCCATTCAGTTGTGGCAGATGGCTGCTGGTTCTGAGTCAGGTTCTGCTGGAGGCTTCCTCCTGTTAAAGGGGAGTTTTTATGCTACATGCATATGCTTGGGATGAGGGACACAACGATGCTGGGCTTCCCTCGATGGAAACTTTTTATTCTACATTGAATAATTCAATTGAGCATGACTCTCGTTTAGGCGTAGTCATGCTGGTAATGGTTATGGATAGAGTCAGATTGATGGAAAGCCCCTGCAAAGATAGATGTGTGTGTGTGTGAGTGTGTGTGTGTGTCCAACCAGCAGTGGATTAGCCTCATCGGCAGAATATTGAAACGACAGAAAGCGTGCATGCAGTAGGAACCAGGGGTCAGTTCTGAGGGTCTTCTGGAAATGTAATTAACAGTGAAGGTTTTGAATCATTTGATTCCTGTGGAGATTATCCCACTGACTATTGAGAATGGTGTAAATAATTTCTGAAATGCCATCATTACATCACAGTGGAAATAAAATATCATAGATTTTTTCTCTCCCCCAAAATTGATCCTCTGGTTTTGTTGGTTTAAAAAAAAAATCTATAAATTTATATCAACATTTAAATTAAAGGATGTCTGAATAACAGCCGTTTGCGTATCCACAGTATTCACTTCCTGACTGCTGAGTGACGTTTTGCTAGTTTTCATGTAAGAAATAAGAAAATATTTTTATAAAGTCTTTATACCCCTACGATCGTCAGCTGCACCCACGGATTTGCTCTCACAAATGTGAAATTATTATACACTAAATCTGCCAAAAGTGTGAATATTTTAAGCATCAAACAACACTTTTTATTCCTATTTTTTAACACCTTCTTTTAAAGTCAAACAAAGCAAGTTGGCAGTGTCAAAATATAGATGTTGGTCTAGGAAGTGAAGCTAAATTAAGTTGGACTGTTTAACATTCTGATATGAGGCCTTTGTTGTGCAGAAGTAGGTCTCATGATGTGTGGCGGTTACAGTGGATCAGTAGGCATCAGGTGAATTTTCAAGATTTAATAAAAATGATGAAAATACAAACGTTCACTTTCAAAAATCACTGGGAGCCAGAATAGAACAAAAAGTAAATTACAACAACAACAAAAATGCCAACCAGGAGGCACAGGGGGAGCATGGGGTAAAACCGGGAAGTAACAGGAGGAACCAGCGGGGAGTGACTGAGAAAGAGGGGCTTAAGTTCTCTTAAGTGCGAGGAGGTTGAAAGCTGAAAGAATGGAGCTGGGCTGATAAGCTAATGTGTTGCAGATGTGAGGAGAGAGAGCAGAAGGCAGACTGAACAGAGAGAGAAAAAGAGAGAGAGTAATTAAAAATAGCTAGCTACAAGCGATAAACATCATGAACTTGAATCACTAACAAAGAACTGAACTAAAGAAAAACAGCAACACAACTGATCTAACCAAAATAAGAAACTAAGACAAAACAATGAACATTAGAATCAAATCAAACCATAAGACAAGCTAAGATCCTAACAGAAGGACTGAGATCCTACTGTACATGACGAAAGACCAGCTCTGGAAGCTTGTGGCTCTTCTCAGTATGTGTCATAATTCTCCCTGACCCCAGTCTAAATGAGCTATTTAAGCGGTTAGTTGCTCCAGCAGTTTCTTCTACTGAGTGACACTGAGTCTTGACTGTTTGGGCTCCAGGCTCAGCTTGCTGTCGGCTGTTGTGTCACTCACTCGCAGACGGATTCCTTAACCACTGACCGCCCTGCCCCATGCTGCTGACTGCTGGGTCTCTGCTTATTTACATGTGAAGTGGCCAAGAAATTGATAACCAAGTTAAATCATTTATTAGACATTTACCCAAATTATGTAATTTTTTCAAAGGAAACAATTAAAAAAAATCTTTCTAACTTCATCTACATGTTTTTAATTGATTTAGGAATTGGCGTCTAAATTTTGAATTTTAAAATTTCATCACATACATATTTATTGTGACACTGGGGAATTTCCAGCAAACTCTTCCTGTTACTGTCAGTCATTGTTCCAGTAATTTCACTAATTTCAGCACCTGTAGGAGTATGTTTGTCTGTGCAATGTGATTAAAAAGTAACACGCAGAACTGTATTTCCTTTTTTATTTTATTATTGTATTCTATATCCATTTTTGTAACCTGCAGATAATCTGGTGCAGCTTATCGAATGGTGACATTTGTACATTGTCCCTTTCTAAAGAAAGCTTGTTACTTATCCAGTTATTTACTGGTTTTTATTAACAAATGGACACAATGCCTTTCCCAGCCAGATGTTGTCATGTGGCAACAGAGAAATCTGTGGTCAAAATCACAACCATCAAACTCCAAGACAACTTCTCCACCCGCCAAGCCACGGTTTCCATCCACAGCTGAATTCATTTGGGAAAAAAAAGTGAACAATGCAACTTTGTAAAGGTTCACTGTCTTCCTCAAGTGAAACTTGCTTGTTGGGGGAATGAAAAACTCAATATCTGACATTGATCCGAGGCCGACTGAGATTTTCAACGCAAAGGGAAGATGAGATAAGAGATGTGTCTTATCATTCTACATAATGAATGAACAGAGAGAGCGTTTTCCATTAACTGTGTCCCTATTGGTGAGCAGACATGTGTTAATGCACATAATGTTATTTTGAGAGAAGAAGGTAGGAAATGAAATTTGGTAATGGTGCAATTATGGCAGACGAATTGGGAATGACAAGCCTGTGTGTGAGAGAGAGTGTGTGTGTGTGTGTGTGGGTGTGTGTGTGTGCGCGTGTGTGTGTGGGGGGGGGGGGGGGGGTAGGGGAAGGGGGTGCGTGGGTGTGTGTGTGTAGGACAGCCCAGGAAATCACAGAATGGCTTTTATTGTTTTAGCCTCCAGGGAGACGATCCAGAGCTGCCAACTGAGGCCCAGTGGACATGCTTTTAGAACTGGACACAAGTAAACAAAGAGGAGAAGCTAAAACAAGACATTTCTGTAACGTTGCTCTCATTTGCAAATAGGGCCCCCTTTTAAAGAAGAGGATCAGGGCCACTGAAAATTCACAGAAAGAAAAAAAAAAATCTGAATTCTGAGATGAAAGTCAGAGTTTTTTTCATTTTTTCAGTGACCTTAAGCTCCTCCCTTTTATTTTAATGTTAGTTTTGATAAAAATCACAGATATCACAGTTAAACTCTACCTTCTACCCTGACAGGTCTTGTCCCAGCTATTTTCTCCCCCCCAAATGTTTTCAACTTGCTCGCATGTTTTTTTTTAATTTCACGTGAGCACAAGAGAATGGTTTGATGATACCGATCAATATCTGACACACCTCGGGTCTCTGAAACAGGACCGTTCGTTTTCTATGTTGCAACTGGTCTCAGTTTTGTGCCTTGAATCCACGTAGAGCAAAGCGACTGGCTAAATGCTGCCATCCTGCAAATCGGTTTACAGTTACTTCATTCAGTCCTATTATAATAAGCGCTATTATTATAAACGATCATGGATAATGATCCCTGTTATCTCATTCCTGTTAGATTTGTCATCATAAAAGACAGAGTTCAGAAGCGTGCTGTAAACACTGCCTTCGCTCTGTTGGTTTGGAAAGCATGCATTGGTTACAAAAAACTGATAATCTAATGATAAAGTCTGCAAACAGGAAGATTTACAGAACACAAGTTTTTCTGCTGAAAATGGATCTGATCAACCAAATTAGTATTCAGAATGACAACAAATACAAATAAGCAGGTACCAATCCGGGCCTCCAGTGGATAGCCGCCTGTTCAGCTGCTCTGTTGGCTTAATCTTCATGCGGTACACACTCACACACTTAACCTGCTGATATGTTTCCAAACATTGAAAACAATCTATCTGTGGAAAAAAATTCTTGTGGCAATAGATTTCCTAGTAGCTCTTTTGATGCAGTTGAGCTTCTTTCTCCTGTTATGCTGCCCCCTACAGGCAGCTTATGGCTTCTTCTGTTTCCCAGGCATGTATTTGACTAATCATTAGGTGAAACATGAATCATTAGGTGATCTTCTGACACGCCTAATAATTTTACTGTTTAAGCAGCAACAAAAGCATATTGTATGTTGATGTTTATTTGCATCCTATAGAAACTTTTTCTTTTTAACCTGTGATTTTACTATCATGGCTATGATTGGAATTTCATTGAATATGAAAAACAATGAATGTTTACAATTACTTCATTCCAGTGCATTTCCTTTTTAAAGTTTATTTTTATCTCCACAGAAATAAACATGCTTTCATATGAGCGAATATAATCAGGCCTACGAGTTTTCGTATTACATTACTACAGTATATTCCATGACCCCGTTTTTGTGTTTTTGTGTTGGATATTTTTCTGCAGTGAGATGCCACCGAGGTGCAAGAAGCAACAACAAAAATAGCAGAGGGCTTCTCCAAATGCTGAAGAGTTTCTACCTCTAAGTCACAACAGCAGGATTTAAAGCCCTGGGAATGAAAAGCTAAGGTAACTAGGTGCTTCCACAAACTTACGCTTTTGCGAGTCTTGAACTGAACTTACATTTAAAAACAGAAGCTGGGTACCGCTGGTTTCTTTTCCTTCATAGACCTCACTTCTTTGTCTCTGCTGTCTTACCATAAACTTCTCTAGTCTGCATGAAGGGCACAGCTTGAAAATATGTTTTTTTTTTTCCTGGTGTTTCAGCACAAAAGGGCCATTTTTATGCCAGGTCTCGTTCGGATGCAAGGTTCATGTTTATTCATTCACCCTTTAAAATAAGTCACTTGGGAGCTTACATGGCATTCTGATTGAATTTCATACCCTGTGTTTGACTTTACAATCAGGCGTTTTTTTCAATGCGAAATAGAAGCAACGCGTTTCAAATAAGCCAGAGGAGGCTGTCCGCCGTAGAATTAATTCCTAAATCATGTACATAATGCAAGCACATGCGTGATCAAAAACACTTTATGCAGTTCTTGACCTGACTGAAGAGTGAGACACGTCACATCTCACATACCATGAATTTTGTATCACTAATCCATATCTCTGGCCTCATTCTGCTGCTATGCTTGGTCTCCCCCTTACCACTTTCTCCTCATCTTCATCTTCACCCCTTCCTACCCCTCCCTTCGACGCCTTTGTTCCCTTGCCTACCTTCTTCATCCATCCTTTGCCTCGTGGGGCTGTTGCTAAGGAGCCCTGGCAACCACAGGGTTGTCTGGGCAAGAGGGAAAGGTGAAAAAGACAGCTGCAAAAAGAAGAGGGATGACGATACGGGGGTGTGCATGGGGGGTGTGATAAGGATGAATGGTTGGAGGAGAAACACAAAGTGAAACCCAGATGTGCTATCGGGGCTCGTGGTGCTCTTTCATTGTCAACAGTGGATGATGGAGGCCTGCAGGGTGGATGGGTGAGAGGAGAAAAAAAATGAGTGGGAGAGAAAACAAGGTTAAGGAAGCCGGGATCAAAAAGGATAAAATGAATTGCATAAAAGATGGAGCAGTGAAATAAGTCTAGCAGAGAACAGAGAAAGACCAGTCAGCAAACACCAGGTTGTAGCTTTTTTATGAAGTGGCCTAGAATGGGAATCTCACTCTGTCCCATGTCTTTAAGGATGCTTTAGATGAGGTAATCGTGTGGTTAACACATGTGTCTAGTTCAATCTCTATTTCCAAACTCTTGCTGACCTCCAGTTCATACTATCATAATCACAGAACAAATAGACTACCAATACTCTACTACATTCTGTAGTCTAGCTCACCTAATGTTATCTTCTTAGGAAAGTACACCCTGTCTTCTTGTGCCTTTGATTCTAAAACCTGGAACCCAACTCGACCCCCACCTTGGTGTTCCTCAGACTCATAATTCGGTTCCCAGTCAGACAACATTCTCAACACACAACCGGAATACAAGTTAATCTGCACTAGAGTTGTCCAATGGACCCATGTCTTCAATGGACGCATGTCTCCAATGGACCTATGTCTCCATCAACGTAACCAGCAGTATGTTTGAGGCTTCCTCCTGTCGTGCAGCTGTATCCCATGATCCACTTGTCTGTCCATGTGTCTCCAGATCCTCAGCCTCCCTGCCATGCTGGCTGCCTCTCTGCTGCAAAGTAAGAAAAATAAATCTCTCTTGCCCATCTGAAGCCATTAAACATCATTAGATTCTCCTTTCCCCAGCAGCTGCATTGATCGCCAGTCACGTATTTGGGTCATAAAAGTAAATCAACAAACATCACAACCTTACACCCAAATCCCCATAACCCACCTGCCCAGAACCCCCAGCATACTGTGGGCTGTTTGTTTAGTGCGTGGAGACAGTGGTGCTGTTCAACTACATCATGTCCACTGACACTGAAGGAGTTGCTCCTCCTCAGTACCCCATCACAAAAGTGTCTATTGAAAAATAATAAAACCGAGAGGTGAACAACAATCTCTATAAATCGTCCGCTGACTGTGACTCTATTAACCTTGAGTTGTAAAGGAGCAATAGACTTCATTTATTGTTTGCAGACATAATAGTCAAACTCGGTCATTGCTTCCCACCCGCACCGTTGAGAGGTAGGGCAGCAGAATGAAGCAGACGCTGCAAAATCAACCCAGTAAAACATAAATTATAAGATCAAGGCTAAGATGTTTGGTTTAAGCTGCAGCGAAGGTTGTTTGCTGTACAGATCAATATTCATAAGAGCAGTCAGTGCCCCAGAGAGGCAAAGGAAACCCTGGATAATTGTAAACATAAATGTTTCAGTGTGTTTCACTCTGTAGATCATGGATCATGGATCATGTAGACCGGATATGAAAGAGATACAGAGTTGAATTAATTCAATTGCATCCCAGCTCAAGGTCTTTCAATAGGTTTATTCTGTCAATTGGGGCTTTTTTGTTTTTCTTAACGTGGAATGCGAAGTGGCCGCACACTCGCTATGTTTCCATCCAACCGTCTTGAGACTTCAGGGAAACTTTCAAAATGTCAGAAAATAAGGAAAAGACAATGCGAGTTTGGTGTTTTAGTGATTTTAAGCGAATCAGCCAGGCAACATGTCCGCTTGTTTCCGCCCGGTTTCTTTCTCCCTTCCTCAGCCTGCTTCCCTGTCCAGACGTTTTCCATCTCCTAATGTCCCCTGTCCTCTTCTGATTAGCTCCTTCCTCAGTGCATATACAGTATTTTGGTTCCATCATTCTCCTCTGACTGTTTTCTTTTGTCTCTATTGTTACTTGTGTTTTACCTCCATGTTCTCACTGTCAGTTTCCTTTTTTTTTTTTTTTTAATTGAAGTCATACTTTCTGCACTTGGGTCTTCCTTAACTACCCAAGATGACATGGGGGAGATTACACTAGGATGACTGAAGCCTATTTCATGTAGATCACCCTGTCTCCTTAATAAAGAGTCATTCTGTAAAATTAGGACACTAAAAGAACTTCCGACCTTCCAGCCTGGTTACTATATGTCTAGCCGAGTTCATCAGTTTTCCTGTGGTACATGAAGTGCAATCAGAGTGGAGTTTGAAGTGCTGGCGTCTGTCAACTGTCTTTGATTTCTTCTACAAATATCCCCTCTCACCCTCATGATAAAAAACTGACTTTTAGGGGGAATTATGTCCCTGTAATCATCTGAAGTTGATTGACAAATGGTAGGGAGACGAACAACTCCTTTATGTTCCTTAGATGATCTGTAGCAGGAGTTTTTTGTCAATGTTTTTTGTGCTTCCTGCTGTTTCTGGAGAACACGTCGACTGAAACGGTTCGCCTCTCAGCTGCATCTCCATGTTCCCTAATTTTCTGCTCACACTTGCTCTCGCTTTCGATCAAAACTAGGTCATTCTGCAACAGTGAGCTACGGCTCTTCCCAAGCATGACATCCAGATACACACATTTATCGCCTGGCAACCGTGCATGCACCCAGCACCCACTGGTTCTTCTTCTCTTCATGTCCTCTTCATGTCCTCTTCATGTCCCTGGAGGTTGCGCGGGGTGCCGAGGGTTAGGCTGAAATACGACGCCACTTTGTTTAGTCCATTTTCTGAATCGTGGACATGGGAGTTGACATGGATCTTTTAGGGGACAGTGGAGGTAACGGCACACATGGGAGGTTAATTATTTATGTAATGCAAAAATGGATTAGTAACACTTCCTGAAACATTTAACTCACATTTTTGTAGCAGTAAGATTTTGTCTAGAATGTAATAATTTACATAGATGCTGATTTCTAGAATTTACAGGTAATTTAAAATACTGTCATGACACCTTAGATTTTGAAGATTTTCAAATATGGTAAAAATGAATTCAGTCATTAATGAGCGATGACACATTTGGTCCTTTATCTCACTTGCCAATTCGCGTCACGCAACATACTGTAAACGTCAGGGTTTTGTTCCACCAGTAAGAACCTTTTTCCTCCATCTATCCCCAGACCAGAACTCTGTCTCTTTGTGCATATTTGTTTATTTTATGTTGTTCTGAAATAAAACTGTTTTCTTCTTTTCCTCATGGTTTGCTCACTAACATTTACTCCCGTTCCTCTCTGTCTTCACTGCCATTTGTCCTGATGCTTGGATGTCTGCTCTACTTGCTCTGTTGTCTTTCTTTTTAAAATCATCTCAGTACCTTTTGAAGGATGATGTGCTCATTCAATAAACACACACTCGTCTGCCTTATACCCCATATTTTAGTGTGGAGTACTATGATGAGTTGTGCCTTTGCAGGCTCTTCATCCGTTGTGGAGAGAAAAACTTATGTCACAAGCCAAAGGTAAATTTAGAAGAGAACATGTTCCTAGGTAAGAACCAGCTGCTTGTTCTGCGCTTTGCTTTTCTTCGTCCAGAGGGTCTGGAATCTTGGCTCCTGAGAAAAGGTTGCTTTCTGGAGGCATGAACTGTGTTCATGTTTTAAATTTTACCCGACGTTTGTTCTTATGTTTGTTCGTGACATGTACAAAGCGCCAGGTCGATGCTATGAAGCTTACGGGAAGTTGCCTGCGCTGGAAACAACCGTCCTCTATAAACAGAGAAGAGCCGAGGCGACTGTTGATGTTAAATCAAGACTCGGAAAGGTGGCCGACACGGACTGGACGGCTTCATTCACTTCCTCCACTGCCTTAGTTTAAACTAAAGAGAGACTACAATTCTAAAATGGCACAGAAAATTGATGTCATCGTTTACTACTTCTCCGTCTGTTTGCTGATTGGCCCGGTAGAACTCTACTCTTTCTTGTAACGGGCCCCGGCTTCCTAACGAGCCTGGTTCTGCTGGCTCATTATGCGACTTCGTCTTGAGTTGTTCCGTTTGGCGGTTGCCGCGTGGTTGCTCTGGATGAGGAACAGCAGATGTTTGCTCCACCCTGAGACAGTGTGCCACAATTTGATTTTTTAAATTTTTAGACGAAGACAAAGAAATGTCAGTGTTCTTTATTGCATCTAGCAGGTCTAAATACTAGATGCAACTGTTGGTCAAGGTCCAATAGAACTCCTGGCCTGTGAAGGTCAGAGTTACATTGTGAAATGACTGGACAGTGACTCTTTGTAGACACTTGAATGACTGGAGTTACAACATCATTTAATTGCCTTTTGGATCATTAATATATCTTTGAATTTGAACTGAATTGATGTTATTTTGGATCTGCTCAGTTTGCTGTGAATTGGACCAGACTGAAGCCGTCAATAAACCGATGAACCGATTATTTATGCTGATGATTAGTACAAGATTAATGTGCGTTTCCATGTCGCAGGCTTTTTTTTTTAGGTAGCCAAACGTTGTTAATCAGATCTTCTTCATCTTTTTTTGCTGGGTTCTGGTCGGGTTCTGTTCAGACAGCATGGAAGTGCTGCAGGGTGAGCTGCCAGCCTGCAGCCTGTGTCCATGGCAGCCGCTCTCCTCAAGTAGGACAGACTGCTGCTGTGGCCCCTGGCGACACACTTAACCCAGTTAACATTTTTTACCCCAGATGTTCCGTACATGTCCTCCTGGAGTCAAAAGCAACATCATTTCACCTTCGTGAACTTTTTTCAGATGGCGTTGCTCAGTCGCCTTTTAATGAGTCTAAGACGTCCAGTTATTCTTATTATTTCTGATTTGAGATCAGACAGGCAGAGCACCAGCAGCCTGGAAGATGAGAATTGGGCCAAAGTACGGTTTACGTCCCGCCAGTCCTAAAACTCCCCCAGAAACCAGTCCTGGGTTGCCCCTGACTACCTCTTCCTTTCTGCTGCATGATTTGTTTTTCTTCAAACGACCTGATAATATCTCGCAGCATCGCTATCTCTACTCTGCTCTGCTCTGTTTGCGATTAATGCAAATAAGTTGTGATTCATCTTTTAGCTTTGCTGTTAATGACTCATATCTCAGGTTAGATTCAGAAAACACTAGAGCAGCTAATTTAAGGCCTAATGACATTAGGAAGGTTACGTCCAATCTCATTTTTCTCTTTACTCATTTATAGGTCATCTATGGATTAACATATTTGCACGTGCATGCTTGTTACTTTATTTATTATCTATATTCTGTCATATTTGAGATCACTTACATCACTCTTAGTCCGCACACACAAACCTATCTATCTATCTATCTATCTATCTATCTATCTATCTATCTATCTATCTATCTATCTATCTATCTATCTATCTATCTATCTATCTATCTATCTATCTATCTATCTATCTATCTATCTATCTATCTATCTATCTATCTATCTATCTATCTATCTATCTATCTATCTATCTATCTATCTATCTATCTATCTATCTATCTATCTATCTATCTATCTATCTATCTATCTATCTATCTATCTATCTATCTATCTATCTATCTATCTATCTATCTATCTATCTATCTATCTATCTATCTATCTATCTATCTATCTATCTATCTATCTATCTATCTATCTATCTATCTACCTACCTACCTACCTACCTACCTACCTACCTACCTACCTACCTACCTACCTACCTACCTACCTACCTACCTACCTACCTACCTACCTACCTACCTATCTATCTATCTATCTATCTATCTATCTATCTATCTATCTATCTATCTATCTATCTATCTATCTATCTATCTATCTATCTATCTATCTATCTATCTATCTATCTATCTATCTATCTATCTATCTATCTATCTATCTATCTATCTATCTATCTATCTATCATGGTTATATTATTATTTGTATTTAACACCTTAGATGGAGTAGCTTCTCAACTAAAAAGCAATTTTCACTTGGGGGTGTGTCAGTTGAGTATATTATATACTATTGAAAAAAACAAAAACAGATATTTTTTTAATTGTTTGGGCATTTATGGAGTATTATGCTGCGTGTGCTCAGACACACAGCTTGTCTTCTATTCATTGCTGCTGCTGCAGATGTGGAGGAACCTCCCTGAATAATACATTCAATAGCTACAGCTTTTGGAGAGAGAAGCTCCCTATTCCTTATCTTTCCTCACATTTTCATAGAGGGGTCTCCCTGCAGGTCGTCCTCGTGTCGGGTGTTTTGTGTGTATTTTCGGAGCAGTGAGTAAATAAGGACCCAGGAAGAGGCGAGGTTGATCCCGAGGGGAGCAGCAGCTGCTGCTGCACAGACTGGCTCTTTATGGTGCAGCCTCACTGTTCAGGTGAAGTTTCCACTCTGCTGCAGACAGTCCTGAGGCGTGAACGCTTTAGAGTGTCTCCTGCTTTCATTATTTGCCGTACTGTATTTTTCTGCTTCTTTCCATACTGATCATTTTAAGCAGGCGGGCGTTTCTGATGCGTGTTTCTCCCTTAGAGTTCAGTTCCTGCTCAGCCTGCTTTAGTCACTAAATGTGCGATTTAGTGTAATCCACTCCGTGCCCTTCTTGGTTTAAATATAATTTCTGTTCAGATTTCTTCTGTAAGGATGATCAAATGTAGTCTAACAGTTTCCTGCTTTTGTTTTTTTCCCCCCTCCAAATAGAATGGCTGCATTGTTAATTCTTATGTATATTCTTTATTTCTCTACAGGCCTGTGAGGGGAGTGGAGCCAGAGTGGAAGGAAATAGAACAACAGCCAACGTGAGTCAGCATCACATCGCGCGCAGCATTTAGAAATAAAGAGTCTGTCATGATTGACCTGGGACACACACCTGCGGTCTGAAGGATGTGTTTGTTTGACAGGGGCAGACTAGGAAACACTTTACACCAGAACGCTCGTGGATCTGTCTGTCGCTCATGGTCAGTTTAACAGGCGGGACTGAAACACAACCGAGTCCAAACATTATACCACCGTAGCCATATTCGCCGAGTCAACAGTGTGGTTTTATTTTATTTTTATGTGACTGAAAATCCCAAAAGTAATTAATAGAAAACACAAATAGACAGATATGGCAAATAAGCGTGCCCTGAAATGATTGGAACTGCGATTTGTTTACTTAGCATTTCTTAGCTTGTCTGATGTAATATTGCAATTAATACTTAATTAACAATTAATAACAATCACTAAAAAGCAGAAATACAGACTTGTGAAATGAATCTATATTTGTTTAACTTGGTGAACTGAGTTCCTAAAATGTTTCTAATTTCTAATGAATTAAATTTTTGACAATATTCTCATGCTAATCAGCATCTGAGAAAAATAAATTAAAACACATGATACTTGCTGAACTCTATGAGGAATTATATTGTTGCCAAATATGACTTTTTAAGAAACCACAACACCTTTGGCAGCCCTGATAATATATATTTGGAAACATAAACATGCTCATCCTGCCTCGTCTCTTCCTGGGACTGTGTCTTGATCCCGTTCGTAGCAGCTCATCCTCTCCTCTCCTGTTTTCTAAGCACTTTTCTCTGGAGAGCCACAAAGCAACCGAGCTGCGAATGTAGGCCAGACCTGAAAGACAGTCGCATGCTCACCTCTCCATGACCTACATACAATACTATAGAAGGCTCTGCGGCGCCGTCTTGATCTTTCTAAAAAAAAAATGTTTGCATTTGTGTCTCCACTCCAGAGCTGTCAGAGGAACCGTCTGACCAATCAGCAGAGGGCAGGATTGCATGCGGCCAGTTGGAGGGAGAGAAATGTTGGGAAAGGTTGGGCATGCGGCCCTGACGTTGCTGTCATTACTGCTGCTGTGGCAGGAAGCGGCAGCCATCGAGGTTCCTTTAGATCGTAAGTCGCTCAACAGACAGAAAAGTGCAAACACAGCCCGAGTGCAAAAAAACCCAAAACATTCACATAAAAACACACTGGTTCGTGTTTTATTTGATCAACTCTCGAAAACAAGCCGGCCGATTTTTGTTTTTGGAAGTGAATCACATTTAACCAGAGACGGCTAGAGTTGGAACAGAGAGGCGGAGAACAGAAAGCGATGTGTTGTCTTTACGCAGCCAGACTGTGGCTTCCTGAACCCATAATGGTTTCTGCAAAACCTCTTCAATAATGATGTGTGCATAAGTCGTTATAAAATACATGATAATAATAAGTAAATATATTAGTGATATAATATAGCATATTATATTAGTACATATCACTAATATAGATCACGGGTGTAAACTCCAGTCCTCAAGGTTTCCTGCAGTTTTTTGATGTGCCACAGGTGCAAAACTCTGGAATGAAATGGTTTAATTTCCTCCTTGTGTAGAAAAGTTCTCCAGAGCCTTAATGACCTAATTATTGTATTCAGGTGTGGTGCAGCAGAGGCGCATCTAAAAGTTTCATGGCCCTTAAGGACTGGAGTTTGTTGCCTTGCTGAAGAAAGAATCTCATTCATTCAGGTTGTGAACAAAACAGATATCTGTAGATAATAGTGTAAGGACGCCTTTGTTTTGAATTAAAACATTATCAGTCTTCATCTGATTCCAACATTCATTTTATGATTTTATCATAATTAAACATCCTGCCTGAAACTACACATGCATTGGGTGCAACATCCGTCTGCCTCTGTGAAACCCAGCATGGAAGTTATAAAACTGGCAGAGGGAGAAAAGCAGGACGGCCTTGTTTTTTTGGTTCCGTGTCTGGTTCTGTCAGGGCCTTAAACACACCTGGCTCATGCATCTTCACACGCATGGAAACACACGGACAGACTTGCATTGACCTCTGACCTCTGTCAGCTGTGAATTGCTCCATCTCGTCTCACTCTGATATTCTTTTGTGCCTGACCTTTGAACCCGAGGCTATTATGTTCATCCAACATACTGGCATGCCCGCCCCTTAGAGGAAAACTAGATAAGTGGCATTCTAAACGAGTTAAGTACAGTCCAACTCAATCCAGATTGTAACGCGGACCGGTCCAGTTCCGTTGATTAAATCAAGACGGCAGAGAAGAAATGATCTAATAAAGGAAACACAGGCATTGACTTTCCCTCAATGCCTGTAATATCTCATTTCCACAGAGCAGTAGGGACAAGGTGGGTGTGTTTTGTTGTGCTATCTTGTCTCCTTCTAAAGCATCAAACTCGCTATTCCTGGACCCCTTCAGTTGTTGATCCGTGTAGGACAATGACTCGGGGAGAGAAACGGTGGAGCTACTGGAGTCACACGTCACAGTCCATTGATCGAAGGACAGAAAAACTGCTAGCAAGCAAGAGATGTGCATCACATTTGTTGTCGCAGCAGTGTGATGGGTCGTTAGGGTCGGGTTTCCTCCAACTGACGGAGGAAACTCTCTCCTGAACTCACCATAAAACCCCCGACCTGTACCACAAAACGAGACAAATCTCACCAAGCATTCGGCAACAGCAGAGATAAACACGTCTCTATGAACAGGGACGAATTACTCAGACTAACAGTAAGCAGTCGCGTCACTAGCAGCCGTTATTGCAGAGTGAAACAGAAACACCGATGAAAGTCGAAGTTATTAAAACAAAGAATTAACACCAAACCAACACATACTCACACATCACTAAATGATTATTTGGTGCTCCGTTCATTGTGTAGTTATGGTTGTGTGTACATAAAGGCCTTTTTTACATGGATCTTTTAAATCTGTTGTTCTCTCCCTCAGTTTCATATTTTTTTCTTTCAGTTCAACACACAGAGACATTGTGTTCGTAATTTTGCTTTTTATGAACGCTCTAACAAAGTGTGTGTGTGTGTGTGTGTGTGTGTGTGTGTGTGTGTGTGTTTTCTCTGTTTGAAACTGCTTGTGCTCCACTGGTATGGAATCCTCTTCCAGGTGAGTGTTTGGCTTCTTTTGCAGTCCAAATGTCACATTTCTTCTGTCACCTAGATTATACACTCCAATCTAGCCACTACTATAAAATAGTAACGACTATAACATAGTAGTGGCTAGTAGTAGTGGTTGAATGCTCTCTCAGCTCCAACTTGCCACATTTTCTTGATTTGTGTCGCTTCCTCCGATTAATTTGGTAAATCGATCAGCCATATTTCAAGTAGATTCTTTTTAAGAGATGAACAGGAGGAGCTGAAGCGTACATATTTGAACTGCTTGATATTGTCATTGATTATTGCCTGCATTATGCTAAAGCATGCAAACAGTGTAGTGATTACTCGTTATTAGTATACTAATAACTCTCAGTTTACCTCCTGACTGAACATATTGATTAATATTATTAACTGGCCAAGCTGCTCTGTTTAACAAGCAGCTTGTGACCTGCTAAAAACAGATAGCGTGGATGAGCTAGGATCTCTCCAAAACCTGTATCCTCCAGTTTTAACATGGTAGAGTAATCAGTGTGTCTTTATTAATATTAACCATCCCGTCACATGTGTCTCCCTTTCTGCCTTCTGTTTCACACCGGACTAACAGCAAAGATCCAGCAAGACTGTGAGTATTTCTGAGCATGTCGTTCCTTCTGCACCTTTCCCCCCCAGCAGTCAGCATAGCTCAAATCTGCCATCAGCTGGTTTTTTAATGCGCGTTTTTGAAGCGTCACATTCGGGAAGGTCGATGAAAACAAATGACAATAAAATGACAATAAAAGTTGCAGACTCAGCTGAGTGGATTTTTCCAGGTCAACCCAGCTGTTAAGTCATTCATGAGTTCATGCGCTGAAGGGGAGGTGGAGCCATATTTCCAGAATAAGATCCATGATGGTCTAATCTGAACCAGCCTTTGTTTCCATGGCGCTGTCCACTAGTCTTTGAAGTCAGAGCTCGGATCACATTCACTCACTGACGACATTATCCAATATCTGCTGTCACCTTTTAGGACCTTTCTATAACTTTGAATTGTAGAAATGAACCATGTTTTCAGAGCGCTGAAGATTCACCACTGGAATAAAGGGCTTTTTTCTTTTTTACTTTATGGCAAAACTGAACTCTTTGAATCAGATGTCAACTTCAGTGAAACAAGTTAATATCTATTTTACCAAGAAGTATATAATGTCCGTCTAATTAACAGGCGATATGAAATCCAAAGGATCGTATCGAAACTATTGATGTTTGCAGACTTTTTAGGATTGAAAGAGTTGTTTCTCCATTTATAAAAAAAAAACTGCACCACTCATGTTTCAGGGCACCATTACTCTGAACTGCTTACTTATAAATGATTCATGTGGGCGTTATATTTCATTACAAAAATGGCAAGGAAGAATAAACGAGCTGTATCTGGAAAACAACTGAAGTCCCCACGATCAGAGCATATTTACCGCCATGTTTGAAGGTCTGACTTTGACTATACCGTTGGAGTGGATTCGCAGGTTTTCAGTGAATTATAGATGTTCATCAGCTTTAATGTTTTAGAGCTCTTGTGGGGGTTTCAGGCTTAAACATTTTAAATGCCAGCTGCTATTTTCTTTCAAATGCTCCTAACATTATGGAGATGTGAAAAAAAAAAAAAAAGAAAAAAAAGGCTGGCATACAGCTGGGAAGCAAATATGCTGGGCCAGATGTGAAATTCTCTTCCACATCTGGTGTAACTTGATTCAGGAGATTCTCTGGCCCTTTTAGTTATTGTGTCCTCTTCCTGTTTTCTCTCTGAAGTTGAGGTTTCTCAACCTGCGGCTCCGGAGCCTCATGTTGGTCTCAATAAATTTGGTAAAAAAACGCTAAAGAATTAGTGTTTTAAAATGTGACGCTGGTAGACATTGCTAGCTTTAGCAATTTTTTATGGAGCTACAAGGAATGGTAATAATAGTCTAAGGAATATTCTTTTCTGTAATGTAAGTTTTTTGTCTTTTGGTTGCTACTTTGATATAATTTTCATAAATTTGACATTTCGTCAAAGAAATTCAACGAAATTTGAATTTTATTGAAATTCATTGAATTTCAATCATCATAAGTTGATTTTTTCTTTTAAAAACCCTCAAATAATTCCCAGCACCGGCACACTTCCTGTAGCAGGTATGGTTAAAATAGTCTAATTTGTTTCATGCAGCTTTTTAAGGCTCTAAACAGATTATTTGCAGATGGATTAAAGGTAAAAATGGCTCTGGGGTGTAAAGGTTGCTGCTTCAGAGTATGAAAGTTTACAAACTGGTCCAAAATGATGTTCTCTTTATGTTTTCTAAATCTATTTCTATTGTGGGGAAAAACATTTCTTTGTGATACTAAATAATAATGGATTTAATGCTGTTTGTGGTTTGGGGAGCGGTGTGTGTACCTGAGTGTGTGTGCCTGTACAGTGTATGAATACGCTGTTGCTTTGTGTCTGGATGTCCCACAGTGAAGCAGCCCCCCACCATAATCAAACAGTCAGTGAAGGACTACATCGTCGACCCCAGAGATAACACCATCATCATAGAGTGTGAAGCCAAGGGCAACCCAGTGCCAAAGTAAGCAGTGAACACTCACAAGTTCCTCGCAATAAACACCCCCCCCCCACCCCCCCCACACACACACACACACACACACACACACACTAGCACAAACTACAAAACTGCAGCTTGGTTGTTCGTTTGCTTTGTTCCTTTCCTTCTTATATTTTTCCAGAAAGGGTAAAGTTCAAATGAAAAATCAACACAATCATCTCTGACTGAAGTTTTTGAAATTTGTGTGGCGTAATTATTTCATTTCGTTGCATTCAGATCATTTAATCACTGTAGTCTATTCTGAGAAAGTCCACACTTGTGTTTAGATGTATTTTGTGCAAATAATATTTTACATAAACTTTCATGACATGATCCCCATCAGAGGACCTGAGGAGTAAATGATGTGACAATTATCCAGCAACAATTATATGAACCAGAGTCATTGGAGCAATGTAGAGTTTCAGTTTTTGTTAGTCCAGTTTCCAAATTTAGTCCTGGTGCCACTCAACATACACACTGAAACGTCCGGCCTGTCAGAGTGTTGGACACACACTCCGTTACATCATCATGGCGAGGACCACTCAGGACAATGAGACATTGTTTGTTTGGATACAGTTCAGCTTTACGTAAGACACACATTCCACATGCACCCACACGCATACACGCTCACACGCCAACACACGCATGTTTGCGTGGCTGTTTTTGTGGGGACTTTCCATTGACACACACACACATGCGCGTGCACGGACGCATTCACACACAGACTCTGTTCACAAACTGGCTCTTCTTTTCACAGGAAGAGCATTGTACTCCCATAATGCACTCAGTTGACCATTCATGCTTATAAAATTGTCACCAAAAGACCTTACTGACTCACTCAGTTGTCACCACTATGTCAGTGAAGACACACAGCACAGAAAGCTTGGTTCCACTGCTTCATAGGGGTGTCTTTAATCTCGATGTTGGCTCTTTTCTCATGGCCCATTTAATCTCAACCTGTGTTTTTACAAAACTCAAGTTATTATCTTTGAACCTAAAGATGAAGGATCTAGTGTGAGCACACAGCTTCAGTTACTAGACCTGAAATCTGGGTGTGGTTATGAACTCTGACCTGAACCTTCAGAGCCACATAAAGACAGTTACAAAGTTGACCTATCATCTGAAGGATATTTCCAGGATTAAAGGTCTAATGTTTCATATCTAGAGAAACTCATCCATATGTTTATCAATCCTCCAGCTGCAGATTATCCAGAAGCTGCTGCTGATGTTGTCACTGAAACCAGGAAGTTAGAGCACCTCACACCAGTTCTACAGTCCTTCCACTGGCTCCCTGCAGCTCAGAGAATAAACTGTTAGTTTATAAATCACTGAACGGCTTACAGCCACAATACATTAAAGATCTGCTGTTGCTGTATCAACCTTCCTGAACGCTCAGGTCTTCTGTTTCTGGTTCTGCTCTGCATCCCCAGAACCAGAACCAAACATGGAAAATCAGCACTCAGCTTCTATGCGCCACAAATCTGGAACAAACTTTCAGAAAACTGCAAAACATTTGAAACACTGAGTTCCTTTAAATCTAGACTAAACCCACCTGTTTAGAGTTGATCATGAATGAAACACTGACCAACATTTGATGCGAAATGATGCGACTTGGCAAAATGTAATACTTATAGGTTTTCTCAACTGGTTTGTTTGCTGAACTGTTCAATGCAAATAAACTTGATTGATTGATTGATTACTGAGCTTATTTCTGAAAAAAAAATTCACTGTTCTTTAGAAATTTAAAAATAATTTGGAAGCCCCTGGTGGAAGCAGAACTTCCCAGCTTTCACACTGACAGGCAGTAACAGTAAATGAAGGATTTTGGATTTGAATATAATTGGCCACTCATCATGTATTTCCCTGCAGCTAAGCTACATTAGCCACCGTGACTTTAACAGTTTGTTTTGAAATGTAACGCCTAATTCCCTGAATGTTCTTCAGGTTCTCATGGAGGAGAAACGGGAGGCTGTTCACCATTGGCAAAGACCCCAGAGTGACTATGAGAAAACGCTCAGGAACCCTGGAGGTAGGATTCCGTAGCGGAGGACGACCAGAGGACTACGAGGGAGAGTACCAGTGTTTCGCCTCAAATGACCTCGGAGTGGCCCTGTCCAACAAAATACTGCTCCGTGTCTCCAGTAAGAATGAATTTTATTTTTTATTGTTATACATGCAGGTTTACAGAGAGAATTTTGTTGAAAAAAACATCTAAACGATTTAAAGTTAGTTTTATTTTCCAGTGTCAGTGTGAATGTAGGCTACGCCTGTGTTTTTTCAAACCGACCAGGTCTCGTCATTACACTGCTTGCTACATGTCATTGCAGGAGCTTCACCATATGCCATGTTTACGATGACAAAAGTGTTTTGAATTCTGTTTGAATCTCTGATTTTGATCTGACTTGAGGACTTCCTCTCAGCGCCATGAAAGTATGATTCCCTTCAACTGACAGCCTTGAATTAGGCCCCTGATGGCATCCAGAGAGCATCTTGTCTTCAGTCCACGTCAGGATTGTTTAGTGACACTTTGCGTGTTTTGTGTACAGTTTAAACATGCGAATATCTCATCATCTTTAACATCATTCTGTGCATTTTTCAACACCACCGCAAGAAAGAACCCAGATTTGGAGTGCTGTCGGTCAGCGCAGCCATCTGCTGCGATGTTCTTAGAGCTTGTCATGGCTCCTTCTGCTGACAGCTTTTATGGACATTATGGAGATGCTGATTTAATTTTCCAGCAGGACTCAGTAGCGGCCCAGTAGCGGCCCGCCAGTAACCGTGGCGACACTGTGATTGACTGGCCAGCAAACTGTCCTGACCCGAACCCCACAGATAATCTATGGAGCATTGTAAGGAGGAAGAAGAGCGGCTGCACTGGTGCACACTGATGCAGTGATTTATGCAAAGGGAGCCCAACCAATCACTGACGGCATAGAAATGAACAGGAAAAATGACATTTTTATTTAAAATGTCCTTTTTTCTTGATCCCTTGTGATATTATAATTTTCGGAGATTCTTGGTTTTCCTGATCTCTAATCATCAGAATGACTAAAACAAGGAGCTCAAAATATTCCATTCTGCATGATAAATTGATCTATATCTGTCATGACTTTAGCTGCACCAAAATGCTCCCTGGAGCTGGGAGCATGGACCATAGTGAAAAATGAAATGAAATGAAAAATGACAGAAACAAACTTCAAATTTCATTGTGCTTTCTTTTGTTCACAATTACAATAAAACGAATTCTGATTCTGTCGCCCTTTGTCTTTCAGAGGCCCCGTTATGGCCTAAGGAAGTTCTGGCCCCGGTGCCGGTGACTGAAGGCTCCCCTCTGGTCCTGCCCTGCAACCCACCGCCTGGCCTGCCTCCTCCATTGATATTCTGGATGGACAGCAGTGAGTAAACCTTCCTCATAGACTTGCTATTTCCTTCTTAGAAGGAAGAAGAGAATACTTGTTTTTTTGTTTTAAGAGGTGAAGTTGAAGTGAAGATATATTTTTTTTGGTAGATTATTTTTTCTTTCTAATATTGTGTCTTGACAAAAAGAAAACTAAGTAAAACATCTCCCTGGGAAGTCTGTTTATTCCCATTTAAATCTGCAGATCAAACCACCATAATTATATCTATATCTACTTATTGCACATCTATGGAATCATGAAAACTAAATTAGATAGACATGAAAGCAACGCTGAGTTATTCTGTCTGCACTCTGCATTAGTGCTAATGTTTTCCTTTCTTTGGTCCTCAGACATGACCCCCATCCTTCAGGACAGGAGGGTTTCCATGGGTCTGAATGGAGACCTGTACTTCGCCAATGTTTTGGTCCAAGACGCTCACAGTGACTACAGCTGCAACGCTCGCTTCAACTTCACATACACCATCCAGCAGAAGAACCCCTTCAACCTCAAAGTTCAGACCAGTGAGTGACATCACCAGTGGACGTAAAGTTTTATCACAATGTTTCGGGGCACTATTGTGATAACGCTAAAAGTGACATTAAAGTGACAACTAGAAGCATTTGTGACATTTTTAGGCAGCTGTGTGTCACGGGAATTACAGCCCCATAAAACATAAATAGTGCTCTTGAAAAACCTTCCTATTTCTAGTGAATAAACTTCACTTGGTAACTGTATTTGTTTTATTTTTTTGCTTAATGAACAACAGTGGAGAAAACAGAAAAATTGTCAATCCTGTAAGTGTAGACAGTTTTAAGGAGTTTTAAACATAATTTGTTGGAAATTATCACAACGATAACACAAAATTCATATATTTGTTATAAGACAAGCTTGAAAATCGACACCATGGAAATAATCTGATAGGAGAGCTAGCGGCTTAATGCTTTATTGATTCTATTTCCTGCAAGTGTTTTGAAGAGATATAATTCTCCTGCATCATCTTCTAAAATCTCCCTAAGTTTAAATCCACTGTGGTTGTGGAAAAAATAAGAATCTGTGTTTTTCAATGTGCTTCCCATGAATCTTATAAGAACACATATGTTTGTGTGTTTTCTCCAGATATGAGTGATATTTATGCCATTTCAGTAAAAGACGACTGGTTTACATGAAAAACAACCAATATTACTTATTCAAACTGATAAAGTTCTATATGGAATTCAGCAAATTCAATAAATCTTCAGGTTTATTCAGTACCACTGCCTGGTTCGGCTACTTTTTGCACTGATCAGCCATTTGTTTGTGCCTGCTATTTCCAGCGGAGCCATATAATGACACATCTTACAATGCCTCTGATCCCTTCGGTGGTGAGTTTGTTTACGTCACAGTGGTCTACTTCCTGATAACCCGCTAGTCAGTTTTCACAATAACATGATCGACACACTAATCGATGCTTAGCGAATCTAACCTAAACTAACTGCTTAATCTACAAGCTCTGTAAACTTTCCATTGCTCTGTTGCTACAGGTTTTTTGTGTCTGTGTTTCCGTTACAAATGTGCCCAAATTTCTGTCCACATTCTGCTGATGTAGAAAGATTAAACACAATTTCACAATTGTGGCATTTCCTCTAAATAAGAAATGAAATTAAAATCCCATGTCAATAAGCCTGTTCATCATTAAAAATCATGGTAGCGACTGATGTTAACAGTTACTGTGGCGCTCATTGTATATCAACCATTAGAGGAGATGTTGGTGTCTCATTCAGGTATTGGACCAACAAGCTCCGCCTACTTGGGAGCGGCTACCTATGTGGCGTTCTGTGGAAATTGTAGACGCCGATTTTACATTAGAGCTGCAGATTCAACACACTGGAATGACGCAGAACTTTTTATGAACTGTGTGATGCTGTGAGAGTTCTGGCGGAGCCAGCTGCACTTTGTCCGGATCATCCTCCTACTACTTCCTGTCGTTTTCTTTGTCGTTTTCGCCAGTAGTAACATATGACTTGTGTGTTGTGTGAAAAAGTGTTTCTATTGCAGTTTTGCGAATTGCATATATTTTGACATGACTGAAAAATCACCACATGCTAACGGTAAAACTTTTTGTTTTCTTTCTAAAAGTTTACTTTTTTCAAAATTAGCGTCTTTCCTTTTAGCAAATTGATTTTCCTTATTTCAAATTGCACAATTTTAAGGTTAATGGAAAAGCAGCTTCTGTTAGGTTACAACAGTGTTTACTGTTGATCTGCTGTGTAATTCATTAATGAATAAGTAATGTTATGGCCACTGAGTGGTAAAGTAAATTCCATTCATTATGCTTTGTAACAGAAACGTTTCCTCCTCCAGGTGAATAATTTGTTTTTCTACAAACCTACCCACCTTGCTTATTAAGTGCAAATTCCTTACAATAATTAGATATAGTTGTGGTGTTGAACTGGGGCATTAAGAGTTCAAGTCTCACACAGGGTAACTTCCTGTGACCTACGGCAATAGAGACATATTTCTACCAAATCACAAAATCAGATGCTCAAATGTCACCTGGATTAACCAGGTTTGTTTCAGATGTTGGGGGAACAGAATAGCATGAATAACTCCTTTCATCTTTAGAGCAGACCGGAGCAATTGCCATTAAATAGAATAAAAAAGAAATACCTTCTTTTAACTTTAGCATTTGAAAGAACAAAAAACACCAAGCTTGTTTTTTCTTTTTCTTTTGGAAATTATTACTTTCATTTTTCATCAGTGCACTGCTGTTAGGAATTAACTGAAATATGTTTCCAAACACAACCTTGGCTAATCTGATGTGCTGCTTTTCTAACCCAATGAGAGTGAAGATGAATGAGCCCCGTGCCGTATCTGTCTTTTCTAATGTCTTCCTGTCAGACAAGAGCGAGGACGTTAGCTTCTTCCTCAGGCGAAACCCAGCCACGAGGAAATGATCGGAATAATATTGTTAGATGACGTGAGAGGCAGGAGGTTCGGCTGCTGGTCGGACGCGACTCACGCTGCAGGGACAATCAATGCGTTTGTCCCCACATCAACCTGCCATTGTCTCTCATTTTCAGGCCGCAAAGTAGCAGAGACACCGCCGTCCTTCCTGTCTCCTGAGGGGAGTGGGAGCTCCAAAATGGTGCTACGAGATGAGCAATTGCTGCTGGAGTGTATCGCTGCTGGCCTGTGAGCACAAACACATACATACATATGCAAATATATAGTCCAAGTGAGAGGAAATTTAAAAACATACATATGTATGTATATTTATATATATCAGCCAATTTACATACTGAAGATTTAATGCATATTCAAAGTCCAGACAATGTTTGAAGTATACAGATTATTAATAGAACTAAACAGAGTTTAAACTCGTTTGTTAGGGTTAGAGATGCTTTGTTTCTTCTTGCTATATTTGATGTAATCCAATTATTACATTAAAGTTTCACACGTGTCTCTCTCCGCCCACTTTCCTCGCAGTCCGACTCCCTCCATCAAGTGGTTTAAGAGAGGGGGAGACCTGCCAGCACAGAAGGTGAAGTTTGAAAACTTCAATAAGACTCTGAAAATTCTCAGCGTGTCAGAGGAGGATGCTGGGGAGTATGTCTGCATGGCAGACAACCGACTGGGCAGCATACGCCATTCCATCGACGTCCAAGTCAAAGGTGAGGATGACACGGTGCTTGTTGAAACAAAATGAAGGAACCTGTGTTATTAGGCTAAACTGGCTCCTTTTTGCCCCCACAGCTGCTCCTTACTGGTTAGACAAACCCACAAACCTGGTGCTGGCCCCAGAGGAAAATGGCCGTCTGGTGTGTCGAGCCAACGGCAACCCTAAACCCAACATCCAGTGGCTTATGAACGGCGAGCCAATAAACAGTGCGGCTTCTTCTTTCACTCGTTTTGTTTCACCCTCAGCTCTTTGTTGCTTTTGCACTTTCAGCACATTAGTTTAATCCGTCTTTAAAAGTGCCACGTTTAACTATACGGGATCAATTTTAAGTGACGTCTCCAAGTGCCATGACAAATCTGATCACTATTTTAGATACAGCAGAGTGGGTTCTGTATCCCTGTTGCAGTTATAAGGTGGTTCTTAGTGACCTCTCATCTTAAAAATATAACAAAAAAAGATTTCTTACTGTAAAGCTGTAGATCTTGATGTAAGGTTTGTGTTACATAAGCAAGCAAAAATATATATACAACCAATGAAAACACATTTTATTTTGGCGTCATTTTCTGAAGTTTTATTTTTATTTTTTTAGGTTTTATTGGCTCTAGTGACCTTTATTTGATAGTTAATTGGCAGGAAAGTAGGTAATGAGGAATCAAACCTGCGATCGCCACGTTAAGGACTAAGACCGCTATATGTGGGTTGTGCTTACTGTGCACCACCACAGCACATCCACACTTTGTTTTCTGAAGTTAAATCAGACCAAACTTCCCACATGTTAAATCACAGAATTATCAAAATTATTTTTATTTTTGCAAAATTTCACAATAATGAGAGAAAGACATTTATTTATTTATTTGATAATGTCTTCAAAATTAGGAGTTCACATACATAATGATCTGTCTAATGGACAGCGGACAATGGACGTAGGAGAAGACATCATCTCCTACTTGATGATGTCATGGCTCCAGACACTTCTGATAGGTCGACTGCCATCTTTGCCTTACTTAGAGGCTCACCTGTTGGCGTATTTTAAAGACACACCTGGAACACTGTGCTTTCTTGTTCAACATGATTGGAAAGTCCAAACGAATTCCAACTCACAGATTAGCCAAGTACAAAACAATGGATGAACGGATGAATTAAATCTGCTCTAGAGAAAGTTTTAAGCTGTAAAAATACTTCCCTTTCTTTGGCATTTGAGCTATCTTTATACTTTGTCCTCTTCTTTTTCTCCTTGTGTTTCTCTTTTTCTAGAAATCACAGAAACTCCAGCAAGCGCAAACAGAGAAGTTCTTGGTGACACCATTATGTTCCGCGGCGTGCAGATCGGAAGCAGTGCGGTCTACCAGTGCAACGCCTCCAACCAGCACGGCTATCTGCTGGCCAACGCCTTCGTCAGTGTTCTCGGTGAGACGCGGGAATGGGGGGGAAGGGGGGGCGTGTGTAGACAGAGTAGTGGGAACTGAAATGTAAAAGTGTAGGTCAAACACAGGATAAGTTAAAGGAATTAGTTCAGCAGTTTGTATTCGTATGATAGGGGTTTGAAACAAATAAGAAACCTGAATACATCAGGACTATTTGACAGCTTTGCGTTTATCTGGTACACATTAGTTTTTTTACTTACAAATTCGGAATTTTGCCTCTAAATGAAAAAAGAGGGATGAAACTGCCGGATTGTCATTTTTGAATTTTTTTATATTTTTTCTGCAATGTTTCATCAGTATTGTATTGAGTGTGTTGATTAATATGTGTCCATAGTGAGATGTGTATTGTGTGTATATGTAAGTATAATTTTTTTTGGTTCTTTCGGCTCCAATAAAAATTGATATAAAAAGCAGTTTGTAAATCTTTATGTATATGTGTGTGTGTGTGTGTGTGTGTGTGTGTGTGTGTGGCCACATGTGCACGTGCGTGTGTGCATGCATGTGTGTGAGTGTGTAAATACATAATTAAAATGATCAGTTTCTCTGATTTTAAGTATATGTTTGAGTGAAAGGTACATTGTTCTTTTATTCTATGAATTGAGTGGACATGACCAAAAGCTGCAGCTGCACCTGCATAATGTCCACAAACTACCAGGAACAGGGATAAAATCAACAAAGCTTTATATAAGGACCAGTTTGTTTGTTCAACCTCCCAAACACACCAAAGTATCATTTCTTAAAAAACTTAAAAATTGTCCCAGTGACCTTGCAAAGCTCTGCAGTTGTTTCAGTGTTGTTTCCTTTCGTTTCCGTGTTGCAGACATGGCTCCACGGATGCTGGGACCCAAAAATCAGTTAATCAAAGTCATCATGAACAACCGAACCTTCCTCAACTGCCCTTTCTTTGGCTCTCCTTTACCTGAGCTTCGCTGGTGAGCATCTCATAGTTTTTTCATACCGACTCAACTCCTGTGATGCAGAATGACTTCCCAAGTAACTGACAGGTCGCACAATTTAACTGTATGTAAGACCTGTGCCTCCGTAATGCTTTTTACTGTTAGTGTTTAAATTGAAAGCTATGTCAGATTGGTTAGTATTAATGTGTTTTAGGAAATTTGTTTTGTTTACCAAAGCCAACCTTCACCTTTACTCTGAAGGTTTAAGAATGGCCAGGGCAGTGGGCTGGATGGCGGTCAGTACCGGGCCCACATCAACGGCACCCTGGAGATAAAACGCGCTCGAAAGGAGGATGAGGGCATCTACACCTGTGTGGCTAACAACATGTTGGGCAAAGCTGAGAACCAGGTTCAGCTGGAGGTCAAAGGTCAGACACTGCATTGCTTAAAGACTGACTGTCAGGATCGTTTGAAGAGTCGTTTTCCTTCCCTGTGCCAAATAGCCTGCGGTTTGGGGACGAGTCGAGCTCTTCAGTGCCTTTTCTTGACCTTGAGTCTCCATTTGCCTTCCAAGTTTAATACAATTAGATCAGCAAAGATTATTATTATTTTTTTTGTTAAATAGAAGAAAAGCCTGATACCGTCAGGAATTCATGAGTTCTGGGTTTAACAGGTGGCGAAGGAAAAAAATGGCTTCATGTTTCAAAACCCAAATGGAAAAACAGATAGATCATCAGTGAAAATCATCTACAATGATTAAAACCGACTGAATGAACAGTTTTTATAGAAGTACATTTATAGTTTCTGAGTCCTGAACATTGTAATTACTGATCTAGGAATAGTTGTCCAAAAGAAGGACTGTCTGCAATTAATTGTTTTATTTTATTTCCTCAGATCTTTGTTTCTACCAGTTGATCACGCATCTCCTCTTCAAATATGTTATTCCTTTTCTGTTGGAGTTAAAGGTGTTAAGGGGCATGAACCACTTGAACTAGTCTGTGATCCCTGAATGAGAACGAGCCAGAGGAGGGCGAGGGGGAGAAAGACTTTTAATAAAACATAATATGTGATAGAGATGTGTTGATGAGGTCTCTCAAAGATGTTGTTGAGATGTCATTCTATGTGATTGTCAGTGTGCCTATTTCTATTGTTTGTTCTGTCATTTTGACTCTGATTTAGAGCCTACTCGTATAATTCAAGCTCCCACGCACCAGTCAGTTTTGAGGGGCTCTAAAGCTAGCTTCCACTGTAAGGTGGTGTCGGACCCCAGCCTGCCCACCAAGGTGACCTGGACCAAGGACGGAGAGCGCCTGGATCTTGGATGGAGGTATTGACACCTGATTGGTTTTACCAATTAAACCTCCTTTTTCAAAGTTTACATCAGAATCAGAACATTTTGGATTTTAATTTGTTTCCTGGTTGGGATTTTTGCTGCATGCCAGTCCATTTCTCCTACTTTAACTGTTTGAATGTCGTCATCATATTCTCAGCCCAAAAAGTGTTAGTTAATTTTGAGCTTGTTGCAATATAATGTCTCCAGTTTGTCATCAAATCTGAAAAAAATTTTCATTTCTCTTTAAATGGTCCCTCTTTAGTAAAGAAAAGTAGAGTTCAGTATATGGATTGCGGCCATAAAAAACTTGGCAAACCCTCTCTGCTAAGCGGCTCATCCTGCCGTTGGTGTCGTTTACTGAATTGGATGATTAAAGTTTGAAGAAGCAAGATACTTTGGTAATAATTTAGTTATTTAACAAATAAGTATATTGCTCAGTTATACACAATACTACAACAACCTGAAACGCCTCTTCATCCTGGCCACCAGCTTGATCACACACTGCTGTGGGATGACATCTCAATCAGCAACCAGTATTTGTAGCAAGTTAGCCCTAGCAGTGTGATTGTGTTGGTCACAGCAGACCAAAGTTGACCTTTCTAGTGTTCAATGGGGTCAAGGTCATTAATGTAGGAAGGCTTTCCGTCCTTTCAGATTGTGGAGGTTGCATCGAAGTCAACCAACCAACTAACCAACCAGCCCAGTAATCAATTGATCCATCCATCAGTCATTTATATAATCCTTTAAGCATCCACAATATTGATTACCAAAGTGCATGACAAATCAACATGTACAAGAAAAAAACAAACAAAAACAAGGTTAAAACAAGACAGAAGGTAGAACAACCCAAGTACATACAACCAGAAGTGGCGTCACGCTTTTAATTTTGTAAAGGTTTGAATAGAAAAACGTTGTTAGCGTGATTTAAAAATATCTCGTTCGGTTACAGATTGGAGATCTAGTAGAAACAGGTTCCACAAAATGGTGCGACAGAAAAAGCTTGATGACCCCAACGTCTGTATTTTGTACGCAGAGCAGCACGTAAATGTTCACTTGTGGCAAACTGTAACCCAGATTGTCACTAATCAATCCTATCATGTGCAAAGGAAAAAAAAACAGAGGGCCTTCAATGTAGTCTTGTAAACATGCTGCTGGATGTTTCTGAACCACCGATCCGTTTTCTGTCCTCCAGGCTGAAGAAGGATGAAGAGTCTCTCACCATCCCGTCTGTCACTGAGAACGATGAGGGAATTTACACCTGCACTGTTAAATCTGAGATAGACCAGGACTCAGCCTCAGCCCGCCTCACTGTCTTAGGTACACTAGTGCATAGAATGGTGCTGCAAAGCATTGATGTGATCTGACAGAAACACAACTCCCTGTACCAGTGATGTTCATTAAGTACCATGTAGGTAACTCATTGTCTTCACTCACAGATGTGGAGTAGATCGATGTGCATAGGAATATATTGTCTGAAGAAAATATGCATAACAAGCAGTACAACACTGTGTATGTCACACATGAAGAACTCGATGATAGAATAATAGCGTGTCGTTTGTAGGAAGCCAGCTGGTTTGAATAACTTGCAGCAAACACTAAATGTTCCAGCCTGGCATTTCGCTAGATACCAATTTGCTTCAAGAAAACAACGCATGTATTGAGATGTAGCAAATTAAAGAAGGTCATCTATTTAATCACCTTCTAATCTCTATATGAAATGAATGCCTTCATTAGAACCTACATACAATTCAATCGTGATGATACTCAAGTTATATTTTAATTGTTGTTCTCCTTTGCTGTTTCTTGGCTTGTAGACTAACCTAACTAATCTAACCTTTATCCCCACCTCCTGACCCACAGAGGACGCCTTCCTCAACCCCTCAGTCTTTAGTGCCTTGCCTCCAGGTAACACATGGCTCAGCTGGAAGCTCTTCTGTCTGTTTTTTTTTTTTTCATGTCCTGATGCCTTATTATTTGCTTTGTGTTTTTGCTTCCAGCTCTATTTTTGCAGCATTTGAAATTTCCCTCCTTTTTTATGTTTTGTGACATAACAATCACAATTGTTTTTCTTTTTTTCTATTGGGATTTTTATGTGTCAGTCCAAAGCAGAACATAATTGTGATGTAGAAGTGAAACGAGGCACGGCATTGTACAAATATGAAATGGTTGTCTGTTACATGTGTCTCTACATCTAAAGACTCATGCCGGATCTTTTTTGGCCTGCGATCCGTCGGAAGATCAGGTCGGATGATGTTGGCAGCAGTTGCAACGCCTTAGAAAATTCAGTGGACCCCAGCAGGGTGCCAGCGATTCCCTGAGATTATCACGAGTCAGACAGGAAGTGAGACACGGTGGCAAATAAAATGCATCTGCTTTTGGGAAAACAAATTACCACCTTAAATCTTTTACTTGTAAAAAAAAATAAAAAAATAAAAAATAAAATAAAATAGTAGTGTACTACTTATCTACAATGGGAGCTCAAAAGTACAGAAAAAATGAAAGAGTGAAAGTGTGATCTTGTTCGAGCAGCTTTTGGGTTTGTGTTCACTCTGGCAGGATTTCCAGTTCATAGTCTTTTGGTGCGTTGACGAAAGGACGGACGGTTGAGTCGGAATCTGTGTGCCAGCTAAAAACCTGTTTTTACTGGGGAAAGCTATGAGCTGACGACGTGTTTTGGGACTTGCCTTGGTGCTCATTCGTCCTTACAAAAGTATCCACTCAGTCAGAGTGGATTAAGATTGTCTGTGGAAAAGAGTCTCTCTCCAGATGAATTTGTGCTTTGATGATCATCATTTCCAGGTCTTCCTTGAAAAAGAGATATTATCTCAAGAGACTTCCAGGCAAAATTAAAAAAGTAAATTCCATTGTTGCTAAGGCTAGGTGTTGCTAAGGCTAGGTGTCAGTTGGTGCCTCTAACAAATTTTCTTCACAAGTTTGGCCTATCACATAAAATCCCAATAATTTGTGCAGATGTTTGTAGTGATGAACAAAATAACATTTTCAATTGTTAAAATAACAAAATTAATTAAATATCTTTTTTTTTTTTTGCCCTTTTGTTAAAGAGTGCAAGACAGATTTTAAGATATTTCATTACTTTTATGGTTTTTGTTTTTGCTCTGTTTTATTTATTTTCTAAAGGTTTTGGTCGTCTAACCAAATACAGGCAGTCCTAGTGTACAATATGCCATGAATGAAGGTTGTTGTGAGTGTGCTTATGAGCGGTATCATCCTCTGCAGACCGTCCAGACCCACCAATAGATCTGGATCTGTCAGACCCATCAGCCCGTAGTGTTCGTCTCACCTGGATTCCTGGGAACGAGCGCAGGAGCCCAGTCACAGGTACGTTCTGGCCCTGTGATCCTGTGCTTGCTTTGAGGTGCTTTCTTCCTCTCTCAGCTAAAAAGCATTCACGTTAGGTCAACTGCCTTTTCGTAGAAGACGTTGCCTGTGGTGGAGAGTGCGAGCGCGTACCTTTTTGTGTCTCAGTAACGACGTTTCCATTACAAATTGGTGCAGATCTTGGTCTATATTTTGCTAATGTCGAAAAAACACAACGTTGCAGTCGAGGTGTTTACATGAAATAAGAAAGGAAATTAAAATTGCATGGTTGTGATGTAAGAGCTCGTTATCAGACATCAGTCATTGGAGTGGCAAGCTCCACCTACTCGGGAGTGGCTAAGCATGCAGTGTTTTGGGGAAATTGTAGTCTGATTTAAAAGAAGAGCTATGGATTCCACACATTGGAATGACACACAACTTTTATATGAACTGAGCTGAGAGCTCTGCTGTACAAAAACAAAAACAAACCATCATTTTCTTACTGCTTTCTGTCATCTTGTTTGTTGTTTCTGCCAGTAGCAACATCTGGCAGTTGATCATGTGACTAGTGTGATGCGAAAAAATGCTTGCAGTGCAGTTTTGCTAAATGCATCAATCTCGACACGTCTGAAAAGCCAACATCCTCATAGGACTCTGGATTATTACTGTGTCATCCTTACATGGTTTCATTCTGAAGCCAGTTGTGCTTTCTGCAGAGTTCTTGGTCCAGTTCGAGGAGAACCACTGGGAACCGGGCAGATGGCAGGACCTGTCCTCTTTCCCCGGAGACCTCAACTCGGTCATCCTGCAGCTTGCCCCCAATGTCAATTATCAGTTCAGGGTCATTGCCATCAACTCAGTGGGTCGGAGTCAACCTAGTCAGCCCTCACCTCGGTACAAAACCACCGCGGCACGTAAGTAGCATCAAATCTAGAATCACATTCTGTTCGTGCCTCTGGCTTGAGCAAGATGATAATTTGGTTGAATGTTTCATTTGCTGTACAGGGAAAGTTCTTTATTTAGTAAAGATCTCAACAAACAGTACCACATGGCACCCCGCAGCGAAGATTTGTAAAAAATGGTAATTTGATCAAAGTTATCTAGTAATCAATAACACCACATTTGCCTGGGATGAAACTCAGCAGTCTCATTTCGTCTTAGCCAGTCCTTAACATGGGAAACCCAAGAGCACATGCCGTCGTGTTTATTAACATAGGTTAGAAAAATGATTGCAAGAAAACATCTTGTTGCTCATATTTGATATAAACCTATTAATATTTTTAAAAATTCAGCCCCAGATGCCATTCCCAGAGATTTACGTGGTTGGGGATCCGATAAGGACAACATGGAGATCACCTGGGAGGTAAGGGAAGCAAATCGCTCATCATTCAGAGTGATTGGTAGCAAAAAATATTTGAAAAAGATGATCATAACCAGTTTTAAGAATGGAAATCAGCCCTGTCGGTGGCGCATGTGGTAGAGCATGCGACCTCAGTCCTCCACAGGTTTGAGTCCCGGCCTGTTGACCTTTGCTGCATGTCTTCTCCACTTTCTCACAATCCGTCTTCCCTGTCAATCTGGTGTGAAATTCACTCCACTAGACCCGAAAAATAGATACAAAATTTCAATGCATGCCTTAAGTTAGATTGCTCCAGTGACCCCCTGCTGTTGACCTATGAGAACTACATGCTTGCCTGAAAATCCTTATGGTAACAATTAGGGGTCAGCATCAGAAGCACTGGTTATCAAAAATAAATCTACAATAATAAAGAGTAAATTCTAAACCTTTACATGATTCAAGGCTAATGAAGCATCAAAACATCAACATTACAATCCAGCTTCTCCACTTGCAGTTAGAAATAACTTTATGCAGTAGTTTGAGTCTGATTGTACGTCTAGTTTTATATTTTATGTTGACTTTATTAATATTTAAATTCTTAATCTTTTGGCACAACCTTTGAAACTTTTCACCTTGCTATTATTATTGACCTCCTTACAGATTCCTTCTGATTTTTCTTTATTTTCTGTTTCACATCACATTAAGACGTTTCTACACGCTTGAACTTGAAGCTTGATTTGTTTCTCTAGCCGCTGCGCGATCTGGAGAAAAATGGCCCAAACCTGCAGTACAACGTGTGGTGGAGACGGAAAGACTCCGGGGACAACTGGACCAACGTGACCACGTCCGAGTCCAAACACGTCGTTCGTTACACTGAAACATATGTGCCTTACGAGATGAAAATCCAGGCCAGGAACGAGTTGGGATCAGGACCCGAGTCTAACATCGTCATTGGATATTCTGGAGAGGACAGTGAGTATGAATAAGAAATGGAACAAACATATAAATATAAAGATTTTTTTGTGAAAGCTTTTTATGTTTAGAAAAACAAACTCCTAAATAAACATATCGGTCTGATGGTTCTGTTTTCAGAACCCGCTGATTCACCCACTGAGCTGCGGGTGTCGAAGGTCAGCAGCACCAGAGCAAACATCCACTGGAAACCTGTAGATCTGAGTTCTGTCCAGGGAGAGTTCAAAGAGTACAGAGTGAGAACGAGGAACTTGTTGAATTGAGAACTGTCTCCACTGTAGATGCCCCACTCCCCTACTTTCTGACTTTTCATCTTACCCATGCGTTCTCTCTTTCGTAATTCCCAGTTGTACTACTGGCGCGAGGCCAGTCTGGTTCCAGGGGTGGTGGTGAGCAAGGAGAAGATGACCACTGGGTTCTACACGACTGTTCCAGAACCGTCTGGGATTCTCAAAGACTTGGTGCCCTACTCTAAATATAAGATGTTCATGGTTGTGGCCAACAGTCGCTATGAGAGTCTCCCCAGCAACAATGTGGAATTCACCACAGCGGAGGACGGTGAGGACCCAACGAACCACACTTGATCATAAACATCAATGTGGTATCAGAGTCTTGCAACCCTTTACTTGGTATGTTCAGGTTATATATTGTGCCTTTGCTCAGGGTGATGCGGGAAGATGTCGCAACCTGTCCACAACATTAGCACTCTATGATTTTATTGTATATTTGTGTCGTTTATTAAAAATCAAAACAAAAAAAATTACTTTCAGAAAATAAAACATTTTTAATCTGAACTTGAACACATTTTTGAACGGAGTTACTTTTAAAACCATGACAGTCTTTAATTTTAGATGCATTTTAGTAAAACTGGAAAAAGACATTTAAAGCATTCAAATATCTAATTAAAACTGATAGGGTGTGCAGAACTACTCGCATAATTATTTCCTTTAAACAGACCATCCTGTGATTCATACTAACCACAGTGCCCCCTAGAGGCTTTGACTGGACAACACAGGTATAAAGTTGAGAGATTTTAGTCACTAGTCATTAGTAATTAGTTGCAGAATTTTATGTCCGGTATTTGGTCTAACCGTGTTTCTTTGTTTCTTTCCTCGTGTTCTTTTCACATTTTTCTCTTCTGACTTGAAATATTTGCAGTTCCGGATGCTCCCAGGTTCTTCAGGATTAACCGCAGAAGTCTGGACACGCTCTACTTGGAATGGGGCAAACCATTAGAACCCAACGGCATTCTAGTTGGATACCAACTTGCATACCAGAGAGGTGACTTCATCTGCTTTGTAACTCTTCCAACTAGGGCTGGACATTATGGCTGAAGTTCTTTGTTCTAAATATCTGAATTACCTACATACTGGTGGTGTGACCTTTCCTGTCTTACCCACAAAGAACAAAATAAAAACAAAACTAAGACTGGTTGTGGTATAGTAATAGAATTCATGAAATACAATCATCATCTCTGTGGAGCCATTGTAGCCAACTAACGCTGAGAAGCTCTGATGCCACAGCAAGTCATGACCATGCTCTGCGTTTGTGTCCAGTGAACGGGTCCAGACTAGGTCCCCAGCAGATTGAGACGTTCCGTCCCAACGAGACAGACTTCGTCCTGCGCCTGCCGGACCGGAACGCTCGCTACAAGTTCAACCTGTCAGCGCTCACCAAGGTGGGAAAGGGGGAGGTCTATGCCGAGGAGTCGCCACACTTTACCAATGAAGGTAAGCATTGCTGCTCATTCAAAAAAAAAAAAAAATAATAATAATAATAATAATTTTTTGAGAAAGATTAAGTTTTGCTAAAAGTAAATTTGAAAGAGTTAAGATCAGCTGTTCATCAGTCTGAGAATGAAGCCAAAATAATTTCAATGTCTCTACATTTAATTAAAAGCAGGATAATCTTCTTAATAATCATTATAAAAATCTTCATTAGTGTCATTAAGCCTTTCTTATGATAACTGAGCAACTTTATGCATGTTTTCTCTAATATTCTGTCAAATTACATATGGTCAGAAGATCCAAGTCTGTCATTTTTCATTAATCATTTAACAGGAGAGTTCAACTCAGAATCAGAGTCAGATTTCCTTTTTTGTCTTTGTACCAGAAAATGCTGTTAAATTTAAAGAAAAATTAAATGATATGAGAGGACAGATGGCACTAAGGGTATGATTTGAAAGCTTCTGTTTTTCTTTTTGCAATAATCACCAGGAGAAGAACTTTGTTTCATAGCTCCAGTTGTCTGCAGTTAAAAGTGCAGCGGAAAGCTAACAGTGTACAGTGCATGTTTGTACACAGTGGCATTATGGGTGAAAAGCATTCAGTCTGTATCTGCACAAACCCATCTAACCAATGATTTGGGTTTGTTTTACAACCACTAAGCTAATATTTGTTGTAAGTCTTCTATAGACCCAAATGCCATTGAGTTCATAATGTGGACATCAAAGTGACAAATTCAGGTTGAACCAAGTTAGAATGCACAACAACGTCAAAGTCAGAAAAGGTCATACAGCACCTGAATATTTAATGATCCAAACTTCGTTCTACTAGCTGTAGATTTTTGAACTGTCACTATTTTTATATATTGCTTGCTTTTAAGCGTCACCATTGCTGCTGATGGTAAATGATGACTTGTTGCAACATGTTAATAGTCTTTATTTTAATGATGAAGTCATTTTCTAAAAGTCCTGATGCATAGAAGCTTAGGACTAAAATAAAGTTATTTTATTGTACTATTGGACATATGCGATGTGACTGACCTTATTAAAAATGTCTTAAATCTTGAAAATTTAGATAGTAGTGATTTAGATTCACTCATCTAAATTTTTATCCGTTTATATTGCATGTTTTGTGAACTTTGACCTGGTGTTTAAAAACTATTGCATAGGAATATATAAGAACAATGTTGGCAATACCTTTTTCTGTCCAAAGTCCTGAACACGTCATGTTCATGACTGGTGTTATAACATATTTATGACAGTATTATGACAGTCTTGTGCATTCCCCTTCAAATAAAGTGTTACCAAATTGTTTTGTGCTATGACGAGGTTGGTTCTTTTGGTCATACTGAAATTTGCAAAACCTCAATAGAAATACTTTTTTTCCCATGATGAGTCATGACTGTTTCTATGCAGCACGAACATCATTTTTTGTGGGCAGCTGGCTCCACCAGAGCGCTCACAGCATCAAACAGTTTGTCAAAGTTCAGTTTGTCATTTTAAAGTGTTGAATCCATAACTCTTCTGTGAAATCGCAGACTAAAATTTCCTGAAGATGTCAGATACGTAGCCGCTCGCAAGTATAAGGAGATTCTCACTCCAACGCCTGAATAGGATGCAGACGGCTCCTCTGATGGCTGACAATGTGCCATAATGACATGGCTGAAATATGAATATATCTCATACCAGAAATACTTTCTGGTGATTTGTAATGACCCATTACGTAAGCAGATTTATTCATACAATTGTGAAACTGTGTTCTTTTGACAATAGCAGGACATCGACAAAGTTTTAGGCACATTTGTAATAGAAACACAGCTTGAGATAAATTGAAAGCTCCACTTAACGAAACGGAATGACTCTTGTCAGCCTTTCTGTTACCTGCTGAAAGTCTTGTTCTCGCTCACGCTCAATGAGTGTTTAGGCTGATAAGATGTCCAGCAGCCCATTTCTCTGTGCCTCTCTAGTTTAAACCAGTGACTCAGTTTGAAACCGTTCTGTTTTTTTTTGTTCCTTCCTGTCTCACCCACTCTTCTCCTGTGTCTTCTGTGTCTCTGTTCTTTCCACCGGCAGAAAACTTTACTGATGCTACAGATGTAGGTAATGGGGGAACAAAAAGCACAGTCTCATTGACCATTGCTGTCCAACACTGACATTTTGTTTTTATCTGTCCATCTAACAACAGCAGCAGTGCAGTCACTCTTACAGCCCTTAGCGACAGTTCTGTTGCTGCCCCGCTGTGGCTTCACGCAGACAGGATTTTCAGTGCTGCTCACAGCAGCATGAGAACCAATTGGCTCTGTTATGGAAGAGGGAAGCTTTACGTCAGTCTGGCAGAGTTTTTTTTTTTTTTTTTTTGCCTTTCTTCACATGATCACACGAGAAAATTGGTGTACAAGACATTGACATACATACACTGAAGGTTTGGAACTTTTTGTGTGTATGTCTAAATCAAATTTAGACAAGATAAAGAATAAAGAAAGAAATAATGATGGTAAAATAATAATATTGACAAAAATCAAAGCAGGAAAACTCTACCAAGAATAAGAGAAATACAATCTAGGGGTCCATCTGAACATCATACTGTTGAAAACTCACTGAAATCACATTAATAAGAAGTTTGAAACACACTTGCGATGCATTGGATGAGGTATAATGTGACTGCCTGTCTCCATCTGATCATCCTTCCACTTTGAAGCTGCTGTTGGTCCACTGCTGTTGCTGTGTTCCTAGGGGTCTAACAGGCATGGCGTGCGTTTTACCAGTTTGGCTGCATTTCATAATGCTCTCTTTTGTCATTGCTTCCACTCCATAACTGTTTTTAAATCTATTTAAGCCTCTGCTTACTATAAACTTCCATTCCTATAAACACTAGCACCTGCTGGTGCGTCTGTGTAATGCAGCCGGACTGCATCACAGTTTTGCTGTGCGATGCAAGGGAATCTTGTGTAGCAGCTAAAGGCTTTTTTTTTTTTTTTTTTTTTTTTGTGGCACTGCTTTTGTTGCTACAAAAGGAAATGAATGCTGCCGCATCATAATATCCAACCACAATGATGTCTCTTTTTTAAGTGTGCAAGTTGTGGAGAATGCTGAGGTACACAACACTTGGATTGCTTAGTCATCCAGTGGCTTCATTTTATTTTTGTTTTGTTTTGAGCTTCTGCACATCTGTCATGATGTCGTCTCTATGGATCACCACTGTTCAGTGAATCATTGGCAACTTGATTCAAGTAAAGTAGCATGAAGCCTTTCCCTGAAGTGACCGATGACACCACTGAACTGTCGTGGCTTAAAAACACTGGGAATTCAGCGAGGCGCTGGTAAAGGGTACGCATGAAATCCATGACACTAGCATGCTGTTTGAGGTTTGGGGTGTTGTTTTTTTGGGTGTTCCTCACATGAATGTGACCGCTACATCATTGTGTTCAGGTTAACAGAACTAATGGAACTCAAATTGGTTCCTTTAATGTTTTTTCCAGAAAAACATTAATGCATGTTTTTCTGGAAACTACCTGAGTATCAGGAGACAAACTAAAGGTCACACACATATTGTTATTATTCAATGTCATTTATGAAAATCTGTACAGAGAGTTTCATTCAGATTGGTTAGTTTTGTTCTAATGTCAGGTGTTAAAGTTAATGGATCCAAACTGAACCCATAAGTTTTAGTTTTGTTTTTGACATCATAGTTGAAGTATTTTGTCTTCTTATGTAAAATTTGAAAAGATTAATGACTATGGTATTTTAAACATAGCTGCTGTAGAACACACTATCTTCATTGCCAAGAAGAGCCACATGTATTACCAATATTTCACCACCTGGTGGCAGCAATGCTGAGCTATGTCAGTGTTTTGGCTTTCTCAGCCCTACACGCTTCAGGTGTTTCTGAGCTTCAGCACACCTGAACGTGTCTGTGCTGCTCTGGAGGACATTCAGGAAAGGTCAGTTGAATGTGGAGTTTTCAAGGAGGAAAACATCTAAAGGATTGCAGAAAATAAAAGATAACACACACAGACACACACACACACACACACACACACACACACACACACACACACACACACACACACACACACACACACACACACACACACACACACACACACACACACACACACACACACACACACACAAGAGAAGGGAAGGGAAGTGAAAAAGCGAAAGGTTGTCCTGGCTGTCCTCTGTTCAAACATCTGACTGAATGACAACAGTGATAAAATGAAACATCTGTGGTTTGTGGGTGATTATGTGTTTGGTCCAATGACGGGAACATGATGGCGTTGAGTTCTATGCTCCATTGTCCAGAGTGTCAGTGTTTCTCAGTTTTGTATGATGTTCCTGCTGCCTTGTGTTTAACCCTCTGCTCTCTCCTTCTTCCTTCCCTGTAGTTGAACTTACGGACGCCACCCTGTCTCCTGTTTTCTCTCCTACTCCCACTCCTCTTCCTCCTACTACCATCCCTCCCACAACAATTAGTATCACAACTCCTACCCCTCCTCCTACCCCTCCTCCTACCCCTCCTCCAACAACCCCTCCTACTACTACCACTACTACTACCACTGAGGCAACTACACCCTCCACAGTTCCTGTGCTGGTCACCACCAAACGAGTTGATCAAAATGTCTTGGGTACATGTTGTATTTCTTTATAGTTTTAAGGAATATGGTTGCCTTCTCCCACCTGACAAAAAACAGGAAGATATGTAAGGACTGCATCCCGATAGGCTGAGCTGTAGCTGTTGCACTAAAAACAGACATGCTGGAAGATTGTATTGTATGACATGATAAATCCAGTAGCCCTTTTCAGACTGTGCATTCTGTCTATGTTATTGGTCATATGGGAGGATAATGTAAAGTCACCGTAACAATATTACATCTCTAATCTACTTGGTAGGTAATCAGAGACTTGAGCTGGAAGAGTCAGGTCTTAAGGACGTGATGTAACGATACGATGCAAAGCAAAGACAGCAGCGAGTCCACAGGTCCATACAGAGCAGAGAGCTGCACAGTGTCCTCCAAAGATGACATGAAGTAAATTGATGAGCAGATTTGTGCACATAAAAAAATGCCATGCTGTGGCGCACATTAATGTTTCTTGAACTGAGTTCTTTTCGACAAACAGGAGGCAAGTGCTTGATTGTTTTCACACATGGATCTTGTCCTAATGTCTCCCCATTGGTTACTTTTCCACTCCTGTTGTTAACTTTTATGGCTTTGCAACCTGAAGCGTACGAACATCTCTGAGCTGTTGTAGACCTTCAGACTCAGACCCTACCTTAAGAATACTGTTGGCTCCTTAGACGTGTTCTGAAACCTGTGGCGATCCGTCCAGTCAAGCTCCTATTGAAAACTACAGATTTACTTTAATTTATTAATCCTTTTCATGTTTCATTTTTTTTATTTCAAGATTTTTTTTTTTTGCAGAACAACTTAAGATCCTATTTGTGAATAGAGCTATATACATTATTGACTTAAATGAGAACTAAGATACTCAGGTTAGAATCCTGAACACTTAGCATACTGCCCAGCTCAATTCTTAAAGTTGTAGGCCACGCCTATTTGATCCTTTCTCCTAGCGGCGTGCTCTGAAAGCACACACAAACTGTTATATGTTTGGAGAAGGAGACATACGACATGAAAGGGAGGTTTCATTGTTCTGAAAGGGGCTGACTAGAGTCATTTTACACAATCAAAACCAGTCGGCCATTAGGCGAGGATTAGGACACTTTCAATGCAAAGTTAACCATTTTAATGGATGTTTAACACAACTTTTCATTAAAAGTGTCATTATTTATGACTGTGTCATGTCAAATTTTTCTTCCGACTTTTAACCCTTTGCCTCTGACCCCATCCCCCAACTGCCCATCTGTGTAGTAACCCCTCGGCGGGAGATCTGGAATCTGACGGTGGTCCCCGACAGTTACTACGCTAACGTCAACTGGAGTCACAACTTCCCAGCTGACAGCAAGTTTGTTCTAGAGGTCACTCTGGACAGTAAGACACAAAGCCTGTGCCAAACCTCCGAAAACATCAAACCATCAAACATATGTTTGCTCGTCTGAGCACGAACCTCTCACTGGGATGGCACACAAAGTTTGAAGAGTAAAACTCGGACGCCTTTGTTACCAGAAGATGATCTTTGAGTTGCTGTGATTGCGCTAAACATGATTTACAAATGTGTACCAAATGTTTGCTGAACTGTAGGAATCAGAGGTACCCATTTTCTGACTGACAAATCAGACTAAACTTTCCTTGTTGAGGTTAATTAGAGTCATCAAAATTATGCCTGTTTGCTAAATGCTGGAATAATTAAGAGAAGATGTGAATTATTTTTGAAAACCTTTCAACATTTTAAATGTGTTTCCTCAGTATTTGGTAGGTTTCCCTTTTAAACTTGATCTCTCCTCAAGCTTCTCATCATATTTTTATGGGGATTTTGGGTTCGTTAGCCGCTTTGCTCAGATGCATCACTTCTACTCTTCCAGTCATTTCCTGTGGGATTAAGATCAGGTCTCTATGATGACCAGTCAGCAACATTGACTTTGTTGTCCTTAAGCCACTTTATGTTCACGTTGGTTGTATTCGCGGGGCTCTTGTCCATTTGGAAAACCCATTTGCCCCTGAGCTTTAACTTCCTGGCTGATGTCATTATGATTAATATTTTATGAAGTGCTCCAGTTCATTCTGCAGAAAACCATCCAAACATGACGTGGCCACCACAGTAACAATGGACATTATGACCATACTGGTCGGTTCTAGCTTCTAGCATTTGCTTCCAAGTTCAATTGCAAATTATAAACTGTCTTCTCATGTTACGTTTGGAGTCATGGCATCTTCCACACTGTCTGGTCTTTGACCCCATACAGGTGCAGGACATGTTTCACCATGGATAATGACTCTTACCAGCTTAAGCAGCATCTTCACATGGTCTTTTCCGCTTGTTCTTGGGTTCATTCACAGATTTACACCAGGCCAGTTTAATAGCTGCACATTCCAGTTCTGTCTGGAGGAACATGGAACCTTTAGACCCAAAAATTGGACAATCTATCCTTGTGGAACTCCCCAATTCTTTTCCTTGCAATTTAACCAATTTATTTGAGTTTTTCTATCAAATCACACAAGAGCATGGTGTGTTCTGGCAGTTACCTTAAAGAGGTTCACAACCGTGATTTGATTTCACTCAAATGTTAAACTATCAGGAGTTTGCAAAGCTACACGATCATCATCCAGGCTTTCCTATGAGGTTCAAACCCATTGGACTCTGTATGACTGTGATCTTCAGAGTTTAAAGAAAGCAACAAATTATCCTGTAATTCATTACTTTGTCATTTAGTAAATAGAGATAATTTTGGCAATAGTGACTGACTGACTGACTAAAAAACAGAAAATGTGTCTGATTCAGTGTTAGACGGCGAGGAAGTTTTACAGGGAATTTAAATATCTGGTTTCACCTGCATGATGGTATCTAAAAACATCCATTAAGAAACCAGAAAATATAAAAACTCTTTGCACAAATACAGCAGGCTTGACAAATGTCTCAATCACATACAAATAGAGTTTGTATGTGACTCTGTTCAACATACAAACTATTAAATCCACATCAGTTTGTAATGTGTGCATTTGGGATATATTTTTCAATGTTTTCTGATTACATATTTTTATGACTGAGGTTTCCTACAACTTCTTGTACACATTTATAAATCATATGATACATGTCTATGATATTTATTGGAACTAAATAAGTCCTGAACACAAATAAATAACTGGATAATTGGATTTCTAATATTGTGTAGACGTGAGGGGACTGTTTGGGTTTCTCATATAAAGTCTCTCACCATGACGTCTCTCGCTCTCTGTGCCATCTCTGTTCATGGTGCCGCCCGGCTTGGAATGCCTCCAGTTGGACTCTGGTTGCTTTACATTTTTATTTGAGAATGCCATTGCTCTGACCGCACATGTTGTCATAGTAATCTTATTTCTTTGTGGAACCGGTGTTAGATGCTCTTGCATCTTTCCTTTCTGAAGCACATTTATCCTCTGTTTTTAAGGTCTAGAACTGGTCAAGACTTTACTGAGACCCATTGCATCATTTTGTTTTGATGAACAGGCAGAAAGCATTTTCGCTGTCTGTCAGCTCCATACAGCGCAAAATCAGAAACTTCTGCGATAAAAAGAAGCCAAATGTCACCAAAAAAATCCAACTTTAATACAGAAATGTAGAATTAATAAGTATGTTTCATTCCTCCCTTGTTATTATTTTCAACAGGTATTTTTAATCTCATTGAAACACATAATTTGTTTTATTGAATACAATTGTCCAGGACAAAACGGTAATTTCTGAAATCAACTTGATGCAGGAACTAAATAACCCGGAACAAAAACTGCCATATTTTAGAGCTGAAGAGTAGACCAGTAACCCAGTTAAAAGGTTCACATACGTTACTGGTAGCTGGCAGATTATTGCATTGCAGTAATACTTTTGCTCACTTAGAGGAACTTTCACTCCCCAGACTTCACTTCAACCAAGACCCAAGTTTTTAGACAGACTGCAGTTCGGTTTTTTTGGTGTGCAGTTCGATTACGGATGAACCCCTTCCCAAGCGAACCGACTTTCTAGGTAAACGGAGCTGGAGTTGGATTAAGCCTTTCACGGAGGGCGTGGAAAATGTCAGGGGAGTGGGAGAATTTGTCCCGTCAGACCGTCAGTTCCCAAAACCACACACAAAAAGAAGACCCAGTAAAAGTGCACACAGGGTCAGTGAGATTGTGCACAGAATGAAAAAAACTTGTGGGGTCTAAATGATCCGGTCTCTTAAACTGGGCTGGTGGTAATGAAATCCTTCATTCCACAAGCAAACATCACTTTACGTTGTTCAGTTCATAGATGCAGGCACATGTAGAGTTGATTTTTGGCCATTTTCCAATTTGCGTTTTGTAAAATAAATGTATTACGGAGCGGCCATATGAAATAAGCCTTAAAATTCCTAAATGGAGGTAGTCTTCGGGGAGCGTTCCAGTTGATTTTTACGACTGGGAAGTTGAAATTTCCGAGTTCTAACTACAAAGGGAATGGAGCATTACTCTTACAACTTTTCGTATGCTTTCTTTCATCACACTGCAATGGGTCTACTCCTCAAACTATGACTGTATGAATAGAAGAATGAAGGTTTTCTATTTCTTGGCCAGTTTGAGCCCTGAATGCACTCTGACTCTAAACGGATCGGAAAGGAAGAAATGATGAAAAGGGAATGATGGGATTGATTTGCTGCTCCTTTAATCCCGTGTGTTTTCCAGGGTCAAGTCTGAAAGCTTTGACTTTTAGAAAGCCTCACTGGCATCTTCCTTCATCCCATCATAATCATCGTCATCATCCCTTTATGCTCCCCTGAGTATTTCCGGATGGGAATGCGGACTGAGTGCAGGTCTTGGAGATGAGAGATTGTGGATAACCAGAAACGTCCTGTTGTGTCCTTCACTTCCACAAGGTCAACTTAGAGCCTGAGTGGACTCAGGTTGATTTATTTTCCCACAACCTCGGTAGAGGCGCACCGATGTATTTCGGTATTGTGTGTCTGTGCATGTGAGCTGCATGTCTCTTGCATAGAGTGGCTTTGAGCTGATGTGGTCAGATGACATCGCGTCTTTGCAATGGTTGACCACCTGGCGCCTGATGTCATCGGCTAATATTCCCTCCTGTTTTCTGCCCTCTTCCGGGTCATGACATGTCGCCCGTCCCCGGTCATGACTGGCATGCTGTTCTGCCACCAAGACGCAAATTATGGTGCTGCCCTTTTCTGATTGGACTTTCAGAATATTAACGTATGACTGTGAGAATGACTTCACATCAACAATGCGTTACCACCCAAAACCTTCACTTTTGTCTCATGAAGCTGGACGAAAACCAGACCCTTAGTTGCAGTTTAATTTGACACGATGCTGTTTCTTTGAAGAAGCCTTGTGCTTCTGTTTTTATTAGAATCTTTCTTAAGGATTGGGCCCTTTGGAAACAATCAACTTTCCACAAGAAGTGGAATTTATTTTCGCAAAGGTACATGAAGGCATCTTTTTTATTATCTGTGGTGGCAACGCATCGTTCTCATCAGCAAACCGTCTCCTCACACTGCGCTTTGCAAACCGGTCTCTCTGTCGAAGCACTTTCTGACGCCGTCAATCTCAGCTGCGCACGACAGTCATCGCTGCCCAGTCATAGTGACACCTCTGGAGTGTGATTGGCACCTTTCTTGTGTCTCCAAGGCAACAAGACAGTGACAGTCGAAGAGGTGAAACAGCCGCCCGTTAATCTGAAGGCTCTGATCGCTGGTGAGAAGTACCATCTGAGGGTTTACTCCCAAGAGCTCAACAGCGTCAGCAGCAAATCTGTCACCTTTAAAACTAAAGCAGGTGAGAGAAGAGCTTCTTCCAGACCGGAGGGCTGATCCGGAAGCCTTTCTGTCTCTGTAGTGTCAATGGTAGCTCAGTGGAAGCTGGGTGAGTTAGCATGGCTCGTCTTTCTCCACCTCAAAGGGTAAATTTCTCTCTGGGAGAAGAAGGTTCAAGCAGGCTGAAAGTGCTGACTGATTTGACTTTATTTGGTTTTGTGACACTTTTGCCCAGCTGAAAACGTAACCAGCTGATTGTCGACACCAAGCAAACGTCTGCAGAGGCTTTTTTGCCTGATGAAACTGAAGGAAACTAAAAACAACCCAATCCAGCGTAGGGTTGGACATCGACAAACACACAAACAGCCTGTTCGGCTTGTAAAAACTTAAAATGGACATGTTAGTTTGCAATGTTGTTTATTAATATCAGGATGCAAAGTAAGATTTCTGCATCAGAGTAAAAATGGCCGTTTGAGGTCCTTCTTTTCCTACTGTGTCTACGAGGAATTTGTCTCCACAGACTCTGATTTTGTCCAACAAGATTTAAAAATAAAAAAAACCCTGTTTATATATAATTAATTTTACAACTGTGATGCAGTAACCATGTACATTGTTTAAAACTATTGCTAAATTAAATTATGCAGAGCATTTATATGCATACACTATTGCTTCAAACACCTCCTGTACAGCAGGAGCTCAGCGTTTGAGGATTTTAGCTAAATGCTAAGGAATATAACTCAGACCCCTTCTAAAATCACTTAGAACTGCCCATTTTAACAGTTCAAACATGCATTATTATGCACAGTGAGAACCGTCGCATAGTTACGGTCTTACTTATCTTGGCTAATGGGAAGTGAGTGCCAAGAATGATGAAAGCTGTTTCCAGGTTCAAGCAGCAGAAAGTAGTTCATCACCTCAAGTTGCATTTTTGTTCAGATATTTTAGAAATCCTCTACAGGAAAGGACACAAAAAGACGGATTTTCTGTGAATAATTTGGAGTTACATTTCACAGAAAAACCCACAAATACTGAACCACATAGCGGGGGCTCCACTGTATGTGCTGCCTTTTTCTGTTGTGGTATAAAAGGTTAGCTAGAAAAAGGCCCAGTGCTACCTGAAGCTGAAAGGTAGCACTGGGCCTACCAGTGCTACCTTTATGACTGCTGAATACTGGGACCTGGACAGATGTCTAGTCAAACGTCAACTGTGGTTTGACTTAGATAGGCATTCATATCTACTGGTTAAGATGTAACAAACATAACTACTACCTAACAGCTTCATTGTTTACAAGTAAATGACTTTTGTTTGTTGGGTTTGTGTGTGTGTGTGTGTGTGTGTGTGTGTGTGTGTGGGTGTGTGTGTGGTGTGTGTGTGTGTGTGTGTGTGTGTGTGTGTGTGTGTGTGTGCGTGGGTGTGTGTGGGTGTGTGTGATTGTATGTGAGAATGAGAATGAACAAAACTGACCTAAAACAGTTTTTGTAGAGTCGATCTGATAATGGAAATATATTTGATCAACCACCAGCCTGACTGCAACATCAGTTTGTTGCTAATTGCAATCATTCATAGAAGAAGAACAGTTCATTGAAACAACATACAAAAATGAACATGGTGATATTACAGTATCTGTGATTTGTGATGTTTAACTCTCTGCCTTCCAAACTCAGCAGCAAATGGATCATATTCTGCTGAGTTTGAATTGTGAGACCACATAGTCTCGCAATTTGACATTTTGAAAATAAAGTTGTTTCAATGAAACACTGCAATTTCAAAAAAATGGATTTGGTGTTTTATTTTTTCATTGGCCGTATCAGAAGTAGTTTATCTTGCAAAACTGCAACTGAAACACTTTTTTCGCATCACATGGTCAACATGTCACAGATGTTCCCTGTGTCAGAATTCAGCAAGGAGAAGACAGGTAGTAGGCGTAGGATCCTGGAACATGATCCTACGCTTACATTTCTTATTTCATTAAGACAATTGTGAAATCGTGCTTTTCTGACATTAGCAGCATACTAATGTAAGTTTATGTCAGTTAATGTAAATACTGACAGTTTTGCACATGTTTGTCATGGAAACACAAATGTTGTAAATGATTAAATATATCTGATATTTATAAGCAAACAACAGATGATAAATCGACCCAACCTGAGCTCTGCTGCGGCTTCACATCGCAAAGACCGCTCATATCAGTAAAATAAACAAATAAAAAAAGACTTTATAATTTTGCAATGTCTAAGGGAGCTGTAAGGAGGCTTATGGGTAATTTAAATGGCAAAGTTCATGAAATTGTTTGAGTGTAAGTTAAATCTTCTAGAGAAAGAAGCTTTCTGTTGCTGTGAATAAATGTAATTCTGAAGTAAATGAGAAATGTGACAAGATATGAGAAAACTACAACTCTGATCCTGAAAACTCTCTCTCTCTGTGTGTGTGTGTGTGTGTGTGTGTGTGTGTGTGTGTGTGTGTGTGTGTGTGTGTGTGTGTGTGTGTGTGTGTGTGGTGTGTGTGTGTGTGTGTGTGTGTGTGTCCAGCTCACATAGACCAGGTAGACATAGCCACTCAGGGCTGGTTCATTGGCTTGATGTGTGCCATTGCCCTGATTATACTGATCCTCCTCATTGTCTGCTTCATCAAGAGGAGTCGCGGAGGCAAATACCCAAGTAAGGCTATAAATTCACTTCATTCAAAGTGTTTTCAATCATTCTTTTGTTTTTTGTGGGATAATATCTGCAGCCGTCTGGATATTTGATTTTTGATTTGTAGAGAAATGTGCTTCTGCTGTTTATCTCAAACAGGAAATTCTGAACAGTTTTCTGACTAATAAACATATTTGATTATGTACACAGTAACAGATCACGTAACAGGTAACATTATGTTCAGTCTGAGGAAATAAAAATAAATGTATTCATAGTAATCATTATTTTTGGTTCAGACTATCATTCTACCTTACATTGTTTTGTTTTTAGGATTGCTTTCTTTTTTTCTAGACTCATGCTGATGCATTTCTCTGTGTTTTATGTTTAACTGTAATTCTATTAGAGTATATCTAAAACTTCTGTCTATGTACAGTATTATGGAAAAACATTTAGGTCTCCAGTTTGGACTATTCTATTCTAGATTGACAGATGTTATCAAATTGATTTTAAAATACTTTCCTTTGCAGATCAAACTAAAAGAATATCTTTTTGTTAACACGTTCACAAATGCACAGTTCAGAAAATGGGCGTCTGATGGCCTAAACCCTTGGAAGAAGAGTATGCAGAGTTGTAATAATGTTGTACAGTTTCTGTAATGTCTAGGTCCCGGATTCTTGACTGGTTTCACAAAATACCTCGGTAGGTGCTGTGATGGATCAGACATGAAACTAACAGGAAAGGGCTTAACATGATGCAGACTGACAGAGTAACACCAGGTCTTCTTCTTTTTTGTGAGTGAAGAATTAATGACAGAAGACCTTACAAAACACCACGCCTCTAATCAAACTCCAGCAGCCCCTCCCCCCCGAGTTGCTGATGTGGTCGGTTTGACAGGCAGCAATCGCAACTTAACAAAGCATATTTTCTCTTTTTAATCAGCAGTACTAAATACCCATCTTTAATCTACACTTTTATGATTTACACTGAAAGAGAATCAGAGTGAAGTGTTCGTTAACACTTGACGGGGTGTGCATCAGACTGACATGACGTTGTCATGAACATGAAGGAGTCAACAGTCTGACTGTTGCCAGGAAGTGTCATTTGGTAAATAATGGCACTTTTGATGTAAAGTTGCCTTAAAAGTTGCATTTAAAGTTCGTTAAAAGTGCCAACTTTGCATTAAAGTGTCATTGTTGAGAAAGTAATTCAAAGTTGACTGATTTAAAAGTCTTTGATTTAATTCAAACTGATTTAAAAGTCACTTTTAATTGACTTTTAATACAATTTTTAAAGCAACTTTGCATTAAAGGTGTCATTATTTACCGAACAACACTTCATCACAACAAAGACATCACTAAAGACTCCTTCATGTTTATGACAGTGTCGTGTCAGTCTTATGCACAATCCCGTCAAATAAAGCACAATCCCGTCAAATAAAGTGTGACCAAGTGTTCTCTCCATTTGTTAACTTCATAAGATGACTAGATGTGAGAAAGTATTCGGCCCCAAACTGATTTCTCTCATATTTGTTTTTTCAGATCATCAAACAATGATCAATTTCAGACAAATGTAACCTCGGTAAATATCAAATATATCCTTCACATGATAATATTTATAAGAATAAAAAAGGCTATCCTATGTGGGAGAATAATCATCCCTTAAACCTGGAGACGCTGCCTGGCGTGCGTCCTTAGAAAGTCTTAAATTAGTCTATCTAAAATTAAAGGCATTAAAATGTCTTGATTGAATTAAAAACAGTAAGTTGGCCTTAAATACCTTAATTGTAGGTCTTAAATTTGTATTGCCAGGATTATTTAATCTTTTGAATTCTATGTATTGTTTTTTTTTTCTCGTTGAAATGTTTTGTCAGACTAAAGTTTGAGTCGCACTCAGACATTTTCACCTTCATTCTGTGACTCAAAGCGGTTGAGGCTAATGCTAACTCACAAAGGGCTAATCTAACCAATGAGAAAAACTCGTCTTTTCTCTCAGTGGTTTTCCCTTAATAACAAACCATTAACTGAAAATGGCTTATTTTTGTATAAATTCCTCTAATTATCTGATATTAAAGTTTATTTGACCATGTTAGTCATTTAAATGTGACCAGAAAACAAAACACAGAAAAGAAAAAAAGTTTTCTTTTTTTTAAGCTGACCCCAAAAAAGCTACAAATACATGAACTTTAACCAAGTGTGGAACTTTGAGTTAAACCTTTCTGTCTTTTATTTATTTTTGTTTATCAGTTCGTGACAAAAAAGATCTTCCCCTGGATCCAGTGGACCAGAAAGATCAGGATGGATCCTTTGATTACCAGTAAGTATACACAAAGAGCTTATTGCATTCACTGTGTCTCACATGAAGTTAGTCATTTGTGTAAAACCACATTAAGCCAGCAGAATCGCTGTTTCACTTTGTGGAAAAAGGAAATCTGACAGTCATTTTACTGACTAGATCTGATATAGTCGTACCATATGACTATTCACATCACTTTCTGTATTCATGCCAAGGAGCAACAGCTTCTCTATTTTAAAGTCGGGAAGTGAATGGAAATAATCTCGACATTCTTCTTCAGAAGCCATAACCATCACAACAGCAGTTGTGAGCTCCACATCTTTCTTATATTGGCTCTCAAAATTGCTCAGCTAAATTAGAAAAAAAAACAACAACAAAAACGTAATTAGCTATCAGAATATATTAGAAATATGTGTTAGGAATAATCATGAAAATCAGAAAACATCTGAAAATGTTCCAAAACATTGATAAATAATGTCTGTTTTGCGTATGAAATAGCTCCATATTGTCCTTCATGGTGCCAAGAACATGGAAAGCAGCCAGCCAATCAGTGATGACCTCTCGCTAGCTCTGAGTTGCAACTGAAGACCGTTCTAATAATTCAGAATAAAACCTACAACGTTCATATAGAACAGTTACTGCTGCCTCCTCCGTCATGATGATGTTCAGAAAACCTTTACAGGTTAGGGTAGAAAAACAGATTTTGGTCAAATGAAGCTTGGTGTGAAGGAACTTTAAAAAAAGGACAAATTGCAAACATTAAAACAAAACAGAAAGGTAAACATCTCTCAGGAGATGAGGAACCTGAAGCTGCTACACATCAGGACTGCTGTGTGAACTGTGTGTTGTAGCCGTTTTTGTAAGTGACGTGTCTTTTGGTTCTTTCAGGTCCCACTGATCTCTGTGGTCTTGTCCTTCCCCCTTTTTTTTATCATCTAGCTTCTTCTTTAACCTAATATGGCTTTTATTAAACATACATAATTTGTGGTTAATGAATAACAGCTCGTTTTGAAGAGTGGCGCCGTAACATTTACCCTTAACTTTGTGCGTTGGAGCTTCCACAAGCCTTCCTGGTTTTGCCTCTCATATTGTTGAGACTATTAAGAATGTACACATATTTTCTTTTGTTATTATTATTGTTTTGTGAAATAATTAGTGTTGTGAGAACCTCAGAAAATCTGTTTCCAAAGGAGACCAAGGTAAATCTAAAGGTAATAAATGTTGAACACAGCGATCTGCGGATTGTGTTAACACAATTAATCTGATCCAATTAATCACGTTTAGTTCATTAATCAACTCCGTACGTTACACACCACTACTGCTCAGACTGTTGCTCCTGTTGACCCCAGATCAAACTTTAACTCTGGTTGAAGTCCCTCCATTTAACCCTGTGTGTGTGTGTCGGTGTGTGTGTGTGTGTGTGTGGGGGTTTCCCGTGCATGCACAGAGTGGAACTCGTGTTTTTGTCATTTCTACCTTTTTCTCTGCACCTCTTCTGTCCTCACTGTTTCCCCCCACGACTCCTCATACTTCATCCCTTTCTCTTCCAAATGCGGAAATGGTTCATCTGTCCGCGACAGGAACGAAAATGAGAACAGGTACATTGGTGCCGGCACGACTTGTGCATGTTGTGGGGCTGGACGCTTTATTTTGGGGTGGTTGCATTCGGGCTATGGGGAGGAAAGCTTGATCAGCCAGAGCTTGATCTGGAAGACCAAAGAGCTTGCAATGTTGGATCTTCAGCCAGATTGCAAAGAGGAATCCGTGTTTATGTCAGCCGGATGACTTTAGATGGATTCTTTGCCATATAGTTTTTAATATAAAGACACGAAAATGTTGGTGAACAACATAGCTGTTTGTAGACGGACGGAGAAGGTAAGTTCTCTCTTTAGCTCAGGTGAAGAAAAAAAAAGAGGTGACAGTTTGCATGGATTTTGCTTCCTTTTTTAAAAAAATTATATTTTCTTTGTTCTAAGGTAGAAAAAAATTCTATATTTCTAAATACTTAAACACACTCTTAATTCTGTGCCAGCTTCATTTGCATTAATATTCTTTTTAAATCTGTTGCACTTAAAAAGGACTCCAAAAAGTTGATGCAATTTTTTTACCTTTTTTAAAGTCAAGAGTTGCCACATAGAGGAATCACATCAGAATGTCAATTTTACATGAACAACAGATGATGCGCATGGTAAATGACAGCAGAATAAAACGTCCCTGGAGAGAAAAGACTAATGAATGCATCACAAATTGTCATGTCTTGTGCATTACTGTTCTAACTTGGAATTTTATGAGAATTATGAAAGCTCTTGTGCGCTATTAAGTCTGGATGGCGGTGCGCTGCTGAGCCCTCCATCCCACTGCTTTCCCAGCAACAGTGGATTTGCTTCAGAGTCTCATTCTGTTATGCTCATTGATCTCTGCATGTGACGCATCTCTCGGAATGTCCCACGGTCGTCAGGTTTGAATTTTTGTATTTAAAAAGGGAAAACATAATTTTGAATAGATTAGAATAGAATAGATAGCATTTATTGTCATTGAACAGGATTCAACGAAATTTCTATTGCAACTCCCGTGCAAAAAGTCAAATATATACAATATAAAATAAACAAACACACAATAATAATAATAATATATACAACTAAAATCATTGAAATCATTGCGACAACTTATTTGTTATGAGAAGAAATGAGGACAAAGATGACCCGTTTTATTTGTAACCAACCAACACTAGAGGTCACTGTTTACCCTTTTACCCGTGCATCAAAAGTCCAGGTTTCAGCAGACGGTATTTTTTTTCCTGCGCAATTTGCAAACATTGAAAAAGCCAGGCAATTTTCTCTGGTTGTAGTTTTTCTAAAAATATTCATAAATATGGCCAAACAGAAATTAAAATAATTTCTCATTTAAATTTGTTACTAGAGAGATGCTATCTGCATATTTCCAGGACAGTTCTTCTTTTGCTTCTGGTTTCCCAGGTGGCAGCATGTCCACGCTTTGCCCTCATTTAACTCTCAGAAAAAAACTTTGTGTTGAGGACAGGAGAATAGCAATAAAAAAAACGAACCTGTGAAATATTTCAAATGAACAGTTGATTAAAAAAATAAATACACAAAAAGAGGTTGATGGTATTTCTTTTTTAAAATTGTGAAATAGTTTTTTATAACAGAGCTGCACTTTCATGAACTTCACGTTTATCATGTTGCAACGCAACCTGGCTTGCCCTGCTCCAGTTTTGTTTCATGGTTTATTGAAATGAAAACTGATTTGTAAATACATCCGAGGGAGGAGCAATGGGTTGGAATATCTTATTAAATTATGCTAGATAAAAATACATAAATAAATAGTGCACTTTAACGTATTAAATTGTGAAGGAAATGCAAAGTTGGAGAACAGCAGCACATAAAGACGTATCCAGTCAGTAATTGATCTGTGGAGGCAGTGGTGAAGATTAGAGAAGCATTTGGATCGAGGTAGTGAGCCTTGGACATCCAGAACTAGTTTTCAAATAAAATGTGGGACAAAATGAACCAGAAAAAATTCTTCTTCTCCAGCAATCATTACATCGTATGCCTTTGAAACTTCAGTATTTAACTTGTATTAAAATTGTATTTTTTTTTAAACATATTTGTTGAAACGGTCAAAAAGTTGTGATAGTAACTAATAATTGAGCTCCTTTGCTTTCTGCCAGAGTTCCCAGAGCTAACTAAAAACAACCAATCAGAGCCTGGAGGAGGGTCTTAGTGCTGTCAATCATCCCCATGTGTGTACAGCTCACCCCCCATTCCCTTTTTTTGCTCTTTGCTACACTAAACTAATTAGCATGGCCACTGATATCAACCATATGTTGTTTCTCTGCCGTCAGAGGTTAATTGACAGCGCTAAGCCCCTCCTCCTGGCTCGGATTGGTTGCTTTTGGTTGGGAGCAGTGTGTTTCTTCAGACAACACGACAGTTTTAACAAATATGTAAAAACCATAAATTTTATAAAAGCTGCATACTGGTGACAGGTTCTCCATGTCCCACTGGCATGTCAAGAGGAAACACTGGTCTCTGAATCTCTAACGTCTCTGCTGGTCATTGCAGCAGCGACGAGGACAACAAGCCTCTGCAGGGCAGCCAGACTTCGCTGGACGGCAACGTGAAGGAGAGCGACGACAGCCTCGTGGACTACGGCGAAGGCGGCGACGGCCAGTTCAACGAGGACGGCTCCTTCATCGGCCAGTACACAGTGAAGAAGGACAAGGACGAGACGGAGGGGAACGAGAGCTCCGAGGCCACCTCTCCTGTCAACGCCATTTACTCGCTGGCGTAGCGGAGCGGTGCCGCCGCAGGACTCCCCGACGCCCTTCCGATTCCCGTTAGGCACCTCACCGTACACGAGACACACACTTGATTATACGAGTATCTAACACACTGTACACGCAGAAACGCAGGAGGCTCTGTCTGGAGACTAAACAGACTGTCCTCCATAGAGATAAAGACGAGGAACACCGGGGTGAGAGGGTGGGTAAGCTTAGACCACAAGCCTTTAATTTTCAGTTTCTTGGCTCTGATTACACGATCCGTCGGAGGCGATCATTGGACGGAGAGAAGTCGTCTCCGGAGCGCCCCCATCTGCTCTTCACCCATGCAAAACTTTGAAGTGTGCCTTCAGTGGCGGCTTTGGATGCATCCGCGAGCAGTCTTGGTTTGTTTTGTTGGGTGTCCTGTCCCCTTCTTCCCCTCCTTGTCATTTCGCCGCTGCTCTGCCTGAGATGCTCCTCTGAATCTGAATCCCCGAGTCCGCTCCGACCCCGTCCTGTGACATATCAGTCTCTCACCGTTAATCTGAACAAGATGCTGGCAGATATGTTTATCATATTGATACTTACTGCGCAGTGAACAATTTTCTTTTCTTCTATTTTTTGTTTTCCACAGCTGGTTAGATGATGTATTGAGTCCTAATAAATGCTGTACACAGTCCTGGCACACATTTTAGTGCCCCTTAAAACTATGCACAACCTCCATAACATTTTGAGTTCAATCTGGTTTATGAAAACATGACGTTAGGTTTCTGTTGGCCATCTTAAATCTGAAAACACGTGTTTTTATCAACATGTTCGTCTCCGATGTTCAATCCAACCTTTTAATGTCTTGTTAAAAAAAAAAAAAAAGAAGAGAATCCAGCACCTGCACAGGCTTCAGCCCTTCTTTCATTCATCTGTACAAAAGGAAAAAAAAGTCCATCTTTTGAATAATAATGAGAAAAAAGCAGATATTTTGGAGCATGATAGTAAAACATGTGCACTAATAGAAGCAGAAAAGGTAGTTTTAGCAAGAAACACCAAAATATCAAACCCAGTTAATTCCCTCATAATAAGCAAGCCACCACCGCTCTGCTTCGTTGTTGCCACGGCGCCTCACATTTTATTTTAGTTTGAGTTCAAATTTGTTGCACGTTATTAATAAAACATCAAAATCTGTAGCAACAACATTTGAGTTCATGACAGAAAATGGATTACAAATCTGCATCACACACACACACACACACACACACACACACACACACACACACACACACACACACACACACACACACACACATTGGATATTTTAGATGGTGAAAGCAGACTTTAAATTCTTCCTGTGAACAAAAAAAAACAAGGTGTGTCCAGATTGAGGGTTTATGCTGCTTCCATTCAGTCAGATGTTTGTCTCCACTATAAACCCAGCAAACGTCAAAGAATGAGATATTATCACATCACCACAACATTTGAAAGCAGATATGATTTTTGCATTTCTTTGCCTTCACATGACCTGTAAAATCGTTCATGTTCTGTCTGAACCCAACTGGACGCACTAATCCACACCTTTGCGTTTTTCTGCCATTTGCGCCTCTTTGTAGAGCCTTTATGATGGTCATTTGTTCTCACACGACTATTAAAGTAGAATTTTTACAGTATGATTATAATCAACTGAATCGCTTTAAAATGACATATGCTAATATGTTGTTTTTGGAGAGGAAGGCTCAGTATTTTACATTCATCCAAGCTGATTGGTCGACTCCGTGTTCAGTAAAAAAAAAGCAAAAAAAAAACAAACACCCCCCCAAAAAACCCAGTAGGAATAGTTTTGGTTCTTATATTGACTACTTACCAAATTATTTATTCGATGCATCACTTTATTTTAGCCCTCCAGAGTGTGGCTCCTTCCTCTCAATGGCACTATCTGAGGCTACGTTCACACAGCAGGTCGATGCGACTCAAACTCGACTTTCTCCCATTTTCTTCCCTATATATGACCCATATCCAACAGTCGCGTTGGGATTGTAAACCATTCAAATAGAAGTCGACTGCAGTCAGATTGAATTAGTAATATGAATTAAAATGCAACAAACAAACAAATAAGTAAATAAATAATATGGATTAGAGTATCTAGTCCTGCTGTGTGAACATAGACGAGCCCTTCAATGAATAACATTGATTTATTTTTTTTGTTAGTTTGGAACTCCATGTAAATAATTAATTTAATTTATATGTCTATTACAGAAATAGTATTAATATTAATTCTACATTATATTCATATTTAATTTAAAAATAAAACACATTTTTGCCTTTTATTCTGGCTACATTTCATTGTCAGACATAGAATCACACCAAAACTTAAAAACAACTTTAGAAACATTTTGGCCTTTCAGAAACAGACACACACACACACACACACACACACACACACACACACACACACACACACACGCACAGACACGCACACACACACGCACACACACACGCACGCAGGCACACACACACACACACACACATACACCCACACACACACACACACACCCACGCACACACACACACGCACGCACACACACACACACACACAACACACACACACACACACACACACACACACACACACACACATGCACAGACACACACGCACGCACGCACACACACACACACACACACACACACACACACACAACAATAAATAAACAAAACGTTTTTAATCAATCGAAACAGACACATTTCTGTCTGCTGTTCTGCTCCTGTTGTCACCATCATGTTTTTTTTGCTGTGTGTTTATGTAATATAACTCCGCCCACTGTACAGAAAGTCTCTATTCTTATTTACTGTCTGGCAGTTATTCTGTACATGCAGGTCCTGGAAGAAGATCTCCCACCATTTTGTAAATAGATATTGTTTCTTCCCCTTATATGTTCTTATCTAGAAAGACAAAGTCACACGTTGGTATCCCCAAAGCATCTCGAGCCTGTGACAGATGACTTCAACTCTGTTGTGGTTGAGATTTGTGGCTGCACCTGTGTGCACCCGATGCGTCGCTGCCTTTACAGAGCCGTCCGGCACTATCAGGTAAAGCAGCAAGGCCTTTGATTCAATCGAATACCTATTTGGAATCAGCACAAAGATTTGTGTTCATCAATAGTTATGAATGATCTTGGACTGATTTTACTTGGGGGAAAGCCTTTCATTTTCTTCCAGGATCTCATTTGAAAGTGGCAAAGCAATGTTTGTATGTGCAGCCATGTTGTTGTCACTTTACTCTGTAAATGTTGGTAGCGCGCATTCTTCATGCGGGTCAGTAGGTACCTTTTGGGCCAATTTGTTTTGTTAGCTCGTTCGCTACGTTTCCATCAAGTTGTCACAAGAATTTTGAACAAAATTTTACATTTGCAAAATAAAAAAAGAAAAAGAAGCCACCAGATTACGCAAACGTAATATTGGACTTAGAAATTTTTCCAGGTTTTGTTCCTCCTTAAGGGTCCAGGAACATCCCCGTCCCAGGAAGCAAAGTTTGCAACGTCAGAACTTATTCCGCAAATGTGTTGATGCACATTCAGCATCTCTAGTTTAGTGCATTAGAATCACCTCACATCCCCCCAGAAAAGCCAAAAATGTTTGCAAAATTGAGGAATTTGTTTTTACAAATTTTCTAAAATTTTATAAAAATTGTTGATGGAAACACGGCCACTGTTAGCAAGTGTTTCCTTTTACTACATACTAAAGATTATACAATTAAATTTTATTTTTTTCACTGTTATGCTAATCAATATTATTTAGTTGGTTACCTATCCAACCCATCAGCATATCTCATTGCTACAACAGAACGTCCGTTCCGGCGCCACTGCTGGTTAATAGACGTTAATAAGACTAAGAATAGAACCAGGCCTGCTGGCAAATTGCATAACAGCCACCAGTGAGAATTTTCTGCACATAATTTCACTGTTTATGTTCTCTAACCAATCACACAATCAGGAAGTTCTTCCAGGAACCTTTGAGAAGATTTGCTGTAAAAACGATCCATGCATGTGCAGAACTGTGAGGAAGTGATCTCTAGACTAAAACACATTCCTCTAACAGGCTGCCTTCCTCATTCACCCTCACTGCAAAACAAAACGTGATTGATAAAAAAAAGATCCATTATTCACATTATTCCATGCTAAAATCCATTTCCCTCCCCTCTGTCTTTGTGAAATTTTAGTGAGTTGGATGAAGCGTTGGATGCCATTGTTCTGTAGTGTATTGTCGCTTTAGACCGCCATGTTGACAAGCTTGAAACTGGAGCCGCAGCAGAAAGCAAGGAAAGGGAAAGCAGAGAAGGATCCAGCTTGGAACTTTTCTTTTTGTCCTTTTTTCCCCTTCTCTTCAAGATGTGCTCTGGAAACGCGCATCTCCCTGCTCCGTCTGCTTACATGTTCCTCCCTGAGTCGACCCCCGGGGCAAAAACCTAAACTGGCTTCAAAACCGAGCAACAATCTGCACACTCCTCGATTCTTAGTTCGGTTCTTCCCTACCCCGATTTGTTACACATTCTGAAAGAAAATGTTGATTTCTTCTTTTTTTTTCCCCCTTCCTTTCCAAATGCTTCAAACTTTAGAATACACCTTTGATTCTGGGTTTTCTAAATGACTGATCACATGGTGTATGGCTTTTTATGAACTGTCATATTTGCATCTCTTTTTTTTTTTACCTACCATGTGCATCACAGCAGCTTGTTAAAGTCTTGCTTCAACATGCAAAGTAAAGCGTTTGTAAAGTACTCAAGAAAAAAAATATACTCACCATATATGCGTGTATGAGATGTTGCAACTTCTGCTAGCAACAACTTCTTTATAGTAAAGCTATCTCCTTTTCTCTATGTCTGACTTCTGATTTCTTTGGTCCTCTGGGATTTTGTTGTTTCATTGACTCTCATGCTTATTGGGGATGGTGGGAGAGGCAGCGTTTTACTGGAGGAGGGCTTCAAACCAATCTGTGATTTCTGTCTGATAATTTGTAGAGCTTGTTTCTCTGCGCTAATCAAACTTCCGGTTTAAGAAACCAAGCAAATAGCGGCACAGCTGTTTCTGCTTACATCAGAATGAGTCAAGAATGTGGTTTAGCTTAACATAACTGGAATAGTTTTGGAAATGAGGCTTAATTAGCCCTAAACTAATTAAAATGAGTCGGTGCAATGATAAATGCACAAATATGGTCCTTTATTCTCCTTTAATCAGCTTAAGGGCTCACAAATCACTAACCAGGTTTTAAATAAGAACAATATAGTCCATGTTTCAGGAGTCTGAGCATTGTTTTTAAGCTAGAACATGCTAGCGCCATTAGCCATTACACCTAACAGATATTGTATCACAACCATATTTCTTGAGAAAACTTTAGCTTGCTAGTTGTTAGCATATTCGAGGCTAACAACAGTCTAGTTAAGCTAATGAGCAGAAGAGGAAGAAGCCAATCCCTTACGTGACCAGTCTCGACATGCTAGCTGTGTCTATCCAAAGCTGATGCAGGGGAGTAATTCTAATGGGCAATTGTGTATTATTTCTGCTGTTACACCATCTGGATCAAAATGTAAAATTTTGTTCAACATTTTCAAACACATTTTGAAAATCTCCAGTTTTGTTTGAAATTGGACGTTTTCAAACCCCAAACACTTTCACACTTTGTTGGAAGTGTGGAAATGACCCCAAACCCCAAATGTTTGGCATTACGTCATTGTGTAAGTCTTTGGAGTTACTTAACCCTCTCCAGGCAGATGTTGCAGTTTTGCAACAGCTAAATGCTACTTCGCTAGTCTGTGCAAGTAATTTGAGCCTGAGAGGGTTAAAAGACGCTGAATGTCTTTCCAGTTCACTCCCAAGAAGGTCAACAAAATTAAAAATCCAGTTTTGGAAGAACAAATCCACAAACACACAATTATGTATCCTGTCAGATACACAAATTATGAGCGTAAAGGAGCATCTGACAGAATCAGCTAAGCTTTCTGTTTGTTTTCTGTTTTACAATGACGGACTTAAATAAATCAGGAACCCGTCGACCTCCGCTAAAGATGCCTGTGACAGCTTTAAACCGAAATAAGTGATCCACCCGACACAATGTGACCAGAACAAGACAAATGGGAACGACTAGCATAAAATGGCAACATCAGAGACTGGTTAGTGGTGGAAGGGTCAAATCAATCAATCTTATATAGGAGAAAAGAAATCAGCCGACATTCCACCCGAAAACATTGCTCAGACCAGCCCACGGAGACTGCAGACCCTGAGACACGTCAAACGGAGAGCGGGTAGCGAGAAGGCCTTGTACAAACTTCTGTCTCTCACTTCCCCTCCTCCCATGCGAGCGCCGTCCCCGTCTTCCACTCCTCCGTCAGAGCGGGTGGTGCCGCATGGCTAGCAGTGCCTCACTAAGCAGACAACTTACCCACACATTCAGCCCCAAGTGGGAATTACTGCACAGGATGTCTAGACAAGCATGGTGGATGGATGAAGGTGAATGGGCTGGGCGGGGAGAACCGAGGTCAAAACAAGTGCATCATAAATTATTTAGTGGAGACACAAAGCAATCTTTATGAATCATTTAAATTCAGTGATTTATCATCTAAGCTGCCACTGAGGGTTTGGGTGTCAGGGACGAAGGAGGGCATCATAAGTTAACAAACGTTTATGTATAAACACCCACATGTTCTCACACTTTGCTGCTTTGAGAGCTTATGCAAACATGGTTATTAGCATGCTTTAATATTTGGTTATGACTGAGCCGAAAAGGTGCGTTTCACAGTGCTGACATTTGTTGCAAGA